TAGAATACCTGCAGTAAAATACCTGTTCAACGACCCGCTGCACCGCGAATAACCTGACACGGAACACATTAGCCGTGGCGACGGCCGCTACTGACTGCTGCGTTAGGGTTCGTTTGGGATTGAGCGGCGCGTGCTCACTGCACCCGTCGTCACCGTCGTGCTCACCATGGTGCAGCTGAGGGTTGCAAATGCCGCCAGCGTATTATCAAGCGCTGCGGTCCACTGCAGTGGAGTTCCTCAGCCAAGCAGGACGGGTTTCACCTCTGGAACTGAGGTAGTTTTCCGCAGGTTGCCATTTGGATCTTTGGCGAAATGGCGCCCGCGTCAAGTGGGAGAGACTGTAAGGATTATAAGCGACGCATACATTGACATTAAGCGGTCCTGCGTTCGGTAAATCCATAGAGACGTCACCCAGGCTACGAGCTTCTCTCGCAGCCGCCGCCAGATAAAATGCATATGGTATGCGCATTGCGCATGGTAATTGTAAGTAAAATTAAACAGTGCATCAGGGACTTGCACTTCCTACATCCAATTTATCCTCGATCTCAAAGTGACGACCACCCCATTCTTCAACGGCTTCCCACTATGCTTATCACTTCAGGCCAGCCTCCTTCAGAATCTGCCATTGTCCGTCCAGGCAGCCGCAGGAGGATAGCTAGGACGAAAACAATGCATTGCTTTATTCTCTTGATAACCGATCTGCTGTGACACTGCGCTCCGCTCAGCTACCACAGAAATGAGCTTTGGCTATTTCAGCTAGAGTAAGCAAGCCTGCCAGCCAAGTTTTTTGCAGCTTTTCCGGCGAATCTGAGCTATGGGTGCAGCCAACCAAAGTATAGTAGTCGGGTAGTATCTCATTGCTTTGCAGGATTGACGGAAGCAGGGATTATGGAACCTCTGTCGTTCCCCGGTACAAGCAAAGACTAACGGATAACGCTCCTTATCGTCAGGAACTATCCGCTATCGTTCGTTCCCCACCGGACGCAGGGACTTATGGGATATCGTCCGTCGTTCGGCAGACAGGAATCGATTTTTGTCTATGAGAATTATGTTAAAGGGACTATCCCACCTTTAACATGGGGTTTGAGTTGAGATAGCCAAGTTTGCGGCGAGGTTCAGAAACCACTATCTATCTAGGTTGCAACCCCCGCGGCCTCTTGGTGTTGAAGAAATTCGTTCCCTTCATTTGAAAATGGGCCTTGCACAAGGCCCTATCTTCAACATGGAGCGACCGTTAGTGTGACGTCACCTCGTTTAGTCATTCTGATTTAAATGGGTTTGTTCGTTGAAAAATCGCTTAAAACTTGGTCTGAACTTTGTTGTGGTGCCTACAGAGTAAAAAAAATCAGCTTTATGACAGTAATGTGGCCTGGGGAAGGAGGTAATTTTGGGCTGTGACGTCACATATTTGAATGTTTGTGTTTGGAATATGGGAAGCCTAAAATGTTTAATGAAAAATAAATGCCAGAACCGTGTTCCTGGTCATCCAATCTATAAAGTCGGGCACAATTTAACTAGTTTTAACAACATTTTTAGAAGGTGGGATAGTCCCTTTAACTAACACAGTATGAAATACAAATTAGTGACTTTCAGCTATCATTCGTTCCCCATCGGAGGCAGGGACTATTTGATGTTGTTCCAACCTTATTTGAGGTAGAGACTATCCTATCGGATATCGTTCGTTCGTCGGCGGACGCAGGGACTATGGGATATAGTCCGTCGTTCGTCATGCGGCGGAAAAAGGGATTTTTGGCTATCGTCCGTTCCCAACTGGAAACAGATACAGGACTATCGAATATCGTTTCTACCTCACTCGAGGAAGAGACTACCGGATATCGTCGGTTCCCCGCCGGGGGTAGAAACTAGTGGTGTCAATCGGTTACCGAAAATTTCGGTTACCGAAAAGATATGCTGACCGATTTGGTAATCGGTCGGTCAGGCCCCCCAAAAATCGGACACTTTCGGTCACCCTGCCAGTGAAACCATTTTCAAAAAGAGAAAGTATTCCATTTTTGCCTAGTTCAATTGAAATTTATTGGGATATTAATGATAAAGAGTTGCAAAATTTCCCCCAAATGCCAAATGCCACATTTTGGTAACTTCATTAGCCATCCCACCCAGCAGGCAGCAGCCACCCATTGTCCAACCACAACTACAAGCAGGCTGATTTTGACTCAGTTGGCCCCACAAGTACACACAATTTTGAAACTCTATTCCAGTCTAACTGTTAAAATTTCACCTGTAATCAAAGAATTATTGCCTACAAAAATCATTATACAGTTATCAAAAATGCAAGGACAAAAATAACTTGAATTACTGAAATGTGTTTCTGAAGACTGGACAGTTAGCACTTAGCACTAAGCAGTGATCACATTAACATTTCACAGGTGTTCTACTATTCCACATTCTCTTTAAATCTAGGTACCAACCAAATGTTTGAAATCTACATGACCACAACATAAAATTAAAAACATAGGAATATTGACAAAAACTACAGATTCGTCCCATGTCCGATTTCTGGAATCTTCCACATTCCAAACACAAGGAAGGATTTCGAAACAGATGCGCCATAACAGAGACTTTAAACCAGCTGATTGAGTTGCTGCAAAAAAAAGTTTTGGATTGTTACATGCTGCCTCGTGAATTATTTTATTGATGTAAATGACCCAACACGATATTGAATTCTAATGAAATCAACATTGTGAGTGTAATTCACTACAAGAATATTAATTTTTCTTCAATAATTCGACCAAAAGGGCATATAAATAAATATTACGTCATCATCATACATCCTTTCGTTTGGGAAGAGAGAATCTTAAAAGTCAATCCTTGGTTCTTCTTTTACTTTTTGCGCCACTTTGGCGCCAGTTTGTATTAATTTTGTCTGCATATTTTGTTTTCTTGTAAAGATAAGACAAACAAGAGATAAGACAAAGTGCCTGTTTAATGAATTTTCATTTCATTTTTGGGACAAAATTCAAGCTCAGAGCTACCTAATACCTGCCTTTTCAGCTGGATTTTCAGTGTCAAATTCTTTGTAGAGTATCTCAGACCACATCTCAAGACTCAAGGCAAGTTTCCAAGCAGTTTTGATGTGTTTTGTGGTGTTTTGATTCCGCCTTTTCTCCTAGGGAATGTTGTCATGAACATACCTATTACCAACCATTTGACTTACTAATTGATCGTGCTTTTGCAACATGAATGAGCATTCTTCCACAGTAGATTCTTGACAATTCTAATTAACCAAATCTTTGAAATGCTGAGGTCCATGTGTTGCTACCCTCAGCAATGTACCTTCTACCACAAAATGTATTTTGCAGTGGCTAAGAATTGACTGAACTTGCACTGAAGTGCCATTTCCCATTATTTTCCATCAGAATTTACCAAATATTTTAATTTTGAGGTAGAGTAATAGCAGATAGAATTTCGGTCAAATTTCGGTCAAATTTTGGCTTGGGATGTTATCGGTCGGTATTCGGTCGGAAATTTTCCGCAAATTTTGGTTTCGGTCGGTATCGGTCAGACATTTTTTGGAAAATGACATCACTAGTAGAAACTATCGGCTATCGTACGGTAGAGGAAGGGATTATCGACTACCTTACGGTAGAAGCAGGGTCTGTCGGTTATCGCTTCTTCTTGACCGGACTAGAAGGGACTATCGGATTTCGCACGGTACAGCCAGGGACTATCGTTTATCGTTCCTTCCCCACCGTAGGCAGGGACTACCGGTTATCGTTGGCCGGTCGGCGCGGCGGGCGGGCTCCTGAGAGGAGCGGGCGGGGGTGGGGGTGGGGGCGGGGGCGGGGGCGGCGCCGCCCATGGCTGCCCCACCATTGATCCAGATGTCGGGCCGGCGGTAACTCGGGCCAAAATTACAGCCGCCGCCGGCGGCGGCAGATGCTGCCGCTCGGTGCCCGGGGCTCTTATGAGGGAAACCGCACGGCAGAGGAGCCGCCGCCGCGCCGGCGGGCCACCCGGCCGCTCAGCAACAGACGCTGGACAGAACCGTCGAACAGCGGACAGAATAGACCCAAAGTCCGCCATAGTCGACTAGAATTGCGGACAAAATCTGCAGTAAAATATTGTTCAGAATCTGCCTGGAAATTGGGCGCATAAGCGACCCATACAACGGACATGCCGTGCCATTTGAATATCACCGTCGTCGTCAGCAATGCCCTGGCATTCACAGAAATGGATCAGCTATGCACTGCTGAATCTCAAAGGAGGAGAAATGATTCACTGTCTTAGAGCAAAGGAGTCCAACGCAACCAGCCTCATTCGTGGATAAATAATGAAATAATTAGCTTCGAGAAAGCACTACATCTTCACAAATCTCAAATCAGTGTGTAATAAGAATATAATTTACAAACTGCTACCACATCCATCAGAGAACACATATCATTATATGTTTTGGTCAGCGCGATGATTTCGTCGTCTGCCAGCAATGACGTCACACTCACAGCGTTCGGAGCGCCTCCCGTCTGACTCGCTCAGCAGACGAGCCGCTCGGCTGTCGGTCTGACATATCTCCGCTCCGCCGACCGGCGAGCGGTCACATCCATTCCGAGTCGCCCCACCGCGTCACGCCGGCCGCCTGCAGGCTGCATTTTTGGCAGGGCGGCCAGAGCCGCAGATTTTCAGCCGCCTGGAACACGGTGGGTCAGCCAGAGCCGCAGATTTTTGTTCATCTGGAGCCCGGCGCGGCCCCGGCGGGTCGTCGTCGGGCTCAGCCTGGCTCCACCGACCCCCGTCCCATGTGAGCCCGTGTGTCAGTTATTGGTAAACGCTCCATCTTGGCGCTCCTGCCACTCTGTCTTCCCCGTCGCTCTGCTGCCGTTCCACATCGCCGTTTCGTGGCTCATGGCTGAGTGACGATGGGGTTAGGCGATGCGGCGCGACCCCCGCCCCCTCCTGGCCCCGGGCGCCGTTTTGGAGCCCGTCCAGCAGCCTGGGGCGGTTCCCGGTGCTCGACGAACGGTCGGGCGCGTCGCGGCAGTCCACGGAAAATGTTTGTGCCGGGAGGATCGCGGCCGGGTCGACTCTGTGTCGACGGATCCATCTGTGAGTTTTTGGATCGGGATGGCGACTCAGTGTGTGAGATTTTTGGATCGGGGTGGCGGCTCTTTCAGTGTGTCTAAGAGAATGGGATTTCGGCTCTATCTGTGGACCTAGGTCGCTCCTTCTGTGTCTGCATGGGTTGGCATCGGCCAATGCGGTCGGTTGGACATCTGTGAGTCTATAGATCGGGATTGCGACATTCTCCGTCTTTGGGTCGGGATCGAGACTGGGTGGTTCTCTCTGTGGGTTTTTAATCGGTATTAGGTACCGCTCAATCTGCAAGGTTTTGGATCGGAATGGCAGCTAGGCTTATGAAGAGTCTCTGGATCGTGTCTTGACTTTGCATCGCGTCCGGATCGATGCTAGCTCGCTCTAAGACACCTCGATAGTAGCAAAACTGCCGTAAAAAGGTAGCTCATTTGTGAGTGATATTGCTCCAGGAGAAAGTGACTTCTTCGGTTACATAAAACCTAATCCAGCCGACTGGCTTGTCAGATCGCGTCTTTGATCACCCAAGATTCACATTCACAGATCGTCTTTGCCACTGTCCGCTACACAGATTGGTAACGAAAAACGGCACAAAAAAATGCAGAAAACTGTGCTCATCTCTGCCGATAAATGTGAAGTGTAACTGGTGCCGCAAAACAGCGTTAAAATCGTGTTGTTCATTTGATGGAACGCCGCGGTTGAGAACTTATCAATTGAGCTTACAACAAAAATCGCCTTTTTTACTTGATAACCAGAGGCGTGAGCCAGAGGCGAGTAACGAGTCGACAGAGCTAGAGGGGCGGATTGCTCGATTGGTGGAGAGTGGTGGATCGCGACCAGAACCGTGCCGTGGTAGGCCGGTGGTGGTCACTGGTCAGTAACACTGACTAGCCGGTGGTTGGAGCGGGCATGTGTCTGGCCTTAAGGTCTGGCCCGAACACGGTAGACCACCGGTCAGTAACATTGACCGCTGGGTGGTAGGAGTGGGTGTGTCTGGTCCGAGTACGGTAGACTAGTGGTTAGTAACATTGACCAGGGTTGGTCGGAGTCAGAAAAGCCGGGTCATGTCCCCGAGCGCAGTGCTGAGTGTTCTCTGTCGGGTCTGTGACAGAGCGTCTCGGCGGGGAAAAGTCGCTAGTGCGGTGGTGCTGTCGGTCTCAGGAACATTTGGTTCAGAGTTCAGGTGTCTATTGAGTAGGGCATTTCGCCGTGTTACCTGTTCACACCGAAGACTGGGTAGGATTATACATATCGCGGGCGAGATCGGCGCGGTGCTTTCTTAACCCTCGCCCGTAAACGGCGATCTGCCACCTTCGCCCATGCAGGGGGGGGGGATTGGTGCGACCCCCCCCTTGGCGTTTGGAAACGGAGCGTCGTAGAGCTTAGCGGAAAAGACCAACGGATTGCTCTCGCCGAGATCTCGCGATTGGTGGTATATTTTTTGGTCCTAGGTCAACATTTGACCTACTTTTGACCGGTCAAAGGTCAAATTTTCGGAAAAATAGACTTTTTCAAATTTTCCGCAGCGATTGCGGCAAAACGGTGGGAGATATCGACTTGAAACCTTCACTATCGTGTTCCTTGATCAATTCTCTATCGTTTGGTATGTATTTCGTTTCCCTAGCTCTAAAAATGGCGCGTTGGGAGCGCCGGAAGTCGGCAAGGTCACAGTCGGCGGCAGAAATTCGAAAAATCAAAATTTAAATTTTTGAAATCTGATTGTATTTTTGGATTTGGGATGTCCATTTGCTCCCTATAGAAGCTAATATTGCTGCATATTCCCATTGAGGTGACAAGAATTAGCAAAATAGTGGTTCGGGCGCTTTTCAAAAATAGTACCGGACGCTGTTCCTCTTGTGACGTCATAGCTCCGTGACCTGACCTGACCCGGTCAAGTTTCTTATACCATATGATAGCCAATACTTGCCCCAACATGCATGGGAAGTTTCATCACGATCCATCAACCGATGTCCGTACCACCGGCAGGAAACCTCGGGCGTTGGCACTCAGTTTGTGAAAATCCGGCCGGAGGCTGTTCCCTTTGTGACGTCATAACTCCGTGACCTGACATGACCCGGTCAAATTTTTTTTTATCAAAAGATGCGCAAGGTTTGCCCCATAAGGTACCCAAAATTTGGCGGCGCTGCGCGCCGCCGTTTTTGCACTATTTCCGAAAAACCTCAGGGGGGGGGGGGGTTGCACCAACCCCCCCCCCCTACATGGGCGAGGGTTAAAACTTAAAGACCGGCAGGCGCGACACGCTGGGTCACTAAGCGCGCTGGGAGGCGACAGGCTCCAGACTGCTGCCTCCAAGGTAGGGTCAGGTCAGGGCCCGACTTGTATGTAAGCCTCTGTTTTCTGCATCGGTTATGTGTTATCTATAAATATCCTCTCCAAAAGAATGCAGCGTCGCAGTGATGCTCGTTTTTCTACTTTGATCTTTATCGGGATGTCGAAGTGTCTGAACCAAATAGCGCGATAAAACTTTATGATGCATTAAGTGTTCCCGGTCGGACTGAGAATGAACCTCTGTGCGACCCAGCCCGGTGCCACTGGGCTCCATTGCCGCAGCGGGTTATCACTCCGTCCACCGGCGGGCGCCGCCCCGTCCATCACCTGGTGACGTCACTGCAGCGGCTTGTGACGTCACTACGGCGGTGCTGAGAGGCAGGACACACCGGGTGCCGATAAGGACTTATTATATGGAGTCGACTGTGACTTGTGAGCAAGTCACCCCAGCTTGTGCTCAGACTCTCGGGGTTGTGTTTGCAAATGACGTCTAAACAAAACGCATTGCGGTAAATGGCGAAATGACATTACAGAGCAGTATCAAATGTAACATATTGTGTAGATACGCTGAGTGATTATCAAAACATAACATCGTTATTATCTACTATATCTACTTTTATCCTTTCGCAGACGACGCGGTGCCGCCCGAGTGGCAGGCGGCGCGGCGACGGGCGGCGGAGCAGACCCATCACCCGTCAGAGGAGACCCACCACCCGTCGTTGGAGGCCCACCACCCTTCGGAGCACACCCAGCACTCGTCGGTGACCGGTCGGCGACACTCGTTCCCAGGACTGAACTTCGTGCCGCTGACGACCACCGATGCCATGGATGGGGACGTGAGTCACACAGCTGAGTGGTGAGCCAAACTCAGCAGTTGGCGAGTCGAAGATGACTTTGGGGTGTAGACCGGATGGTGGTGCGCACCTTTTCTTATCATGGTAGTCCCAGAAGGTAGCAAAAATCGTATTGTTTATTTGATAGACGTCAATGACCGAGAAGTTACCGTAACACACACCAGACAGAAGAAAGCCTTCCTCACGTTCCAGGCCAGCCATCAGGCATCAACTCCTTCCTTTCCTTCACGACTGGGCTCTGCAGGCTGTCAGGCGATTGGCAAACTTATTCAGCCAGGGCAACCAAAACAGTAACCTCCCACAACCCCACTGTCAGCGACGTAACCGCTCTGTCGGCAGAGTAACCGCAGCTCGTCTGATTCGGAGCGGACCAGCTCCCTGGCCCGGCCACCGCCACAGGGGGGCTGCCAGCCGCCGCAGCTGGACCGTCGCAGCTTCCCGGTACCGCAGGGGCTGAGCCGCAGCAGCCAGCCGGTCCGCCAGCAGGTCAGTATAATCAGCGGGTCAGTCAGCAGGTCAGTGTAGTCAGCCGGTCCGTCAGCAGGTCAAATCGGTCAGCAGGTCAGTGTAGAAGTCAGACGGTCCGCCAGCAGCTTAGTATAGTTAGTCAGCAGGTCCGTCAGGTCAGTGCGGTCCGCCGGTCCACCAGCAGGTCAGTATAATCAGCAGGTCAGTGTAGAAGTCAGACGGTGTGCCAGCAGGTCAGTACGACCAGCTGGTTCGCCAGCAGGTCTGTTCGGTCAGCCGGTCCACCAGCAAAGGTCAGTTCGGTCAGCAAGTCATTCAGTTATTAGGTCCGCCAGCAGGCCCGGATAATCAGCAAGTCAGTCAGCAGGTCAGTCAGCCGGGTCAGCTAGTCACTTAGCCGGTCAGTATCCAGCCAGAAGGTCAGTGAGGTCAGCACTCAGCAGGTCAGTTACCCGGTACGTCAAGCAGTCAAAAGGTCAGTCCACAAGTCAGCCGGTCATTTCAGTCAGCAGGTCAGTCAGCGGGTCAGCAGCGGTCCGTGAGCAGGCTACTGCGGCAAGTTGGCAGGTCAGTAGGTAGGAACAGCGGTCAGCAGGCCAGTCAGAGGCTGTCAGCCTAACGCGAACGGCCTCCGCGAAGACCAGTCTCGATTACTGCACTGGTCAGAGGCACGGAAGGCCGACGAAGTCCCGTGGTTTGACTGGGCTAAAACCATACCGCCATCTGGGAACTGACGTTTTATGCGTGATCAGCTTGATAGTCTCATTAAATATTAGGCAGATTTTCAGTGTTGGTTTCTCACTGATGTCATGATCGTAGCCTTTTGGCTGCAGTTCATAACAAACATCCTGTCGCCCCAAGTCAAAACACGTATGGTTTCATCGACAACATTGAGGTACACGACATGACTTTCAAAGCTAAAACGAGTGTGCTGTTTCCTCTCAAAGATCAGTGATCACGTTTCCTTTGATACCGATATAAGATAAGCGCTTCTGACACACGTGCACTGTGTTATCAAGTTGAATAAGCTGCAGAGATCAGGGTACCTAGTACCTACAAGATCGTAGACGAATGGCAAGCTCGTATTGAGTGATGATCTATGTACGTGTAGATATAAATCGGCATGACAAGTTCGTTGGTTGAACAATACTTTTTAGAATCTACAGAGAATTCATTTAGCCATAAGAATACCCGACAAAATATTTCCACTTTCCCGTCCGTTCCTTCACAGCTGAGGCCCTCTAACTGCCCGTTGATGTCCGTGACGGCGGCCACGTCGCCCTATTTCGGTGCTTAGCAGCACGCCCGTCACTATGACGTAGGATTAGCCAGACCGAACATGACAGCAGAGACACGCTGACGCCCGCTTTGGCACCGAGAGCCGGCCCGAGAGCATCAGAAGCCAAACCAGTGACGTCATTCACGGGTGATTCTGCACCGGCTGAGGCGTTAAATATACCAGCCTTGTCAGCACGTGCTTGTTAACGTGGTAAATGATCCTGCAGAAGCGTCACAACGCATGAATAGGTCATGCATAGTCACATTCATAAGCGAGCTATGTCCATTAGCAAGGCTATCCAGAGCCACGCCAAATACACGACTTCGGCATTCATGCTACACTTGATAGCTGGGACTTTTTCCTTGCAGCGCCTCCGTTTGTTTTCCCTTCCCTGATGTTCAAACACTCTCATTCATTTCCGCCCACAGCAAACCCCAATGCAGCAACTGCAGATGCGTGGCTACTCGACGCTGCAGCCTTCCTCCACCATGTTCGACGACGACCCGGGCATCATGTCCGAGGCGGAGACCTCGTCGACGGGCGGATTCCGGCGTGGAGCCAAGGTGCGCTCCTCGCTGCCCGTCGTGCGGACGCCCTCCAAAACCATGGAGCGGCCACTAGGTGAGCCACTGGGGGTGGTGGCCTGGTGGGTGGAGGGACTGGCGGGAAGTGATGGGAGTGGCGAGATGCACTGGTGAGCAGTGGCGGGCAGTGGTGGCGGACAGTGGTGGGAGGTGGTGGTAGTGGCGCTGGTGGTGGGAGTTATAAGAAGTGTCCCATGCTGCATCTTGATCTGTGCAAGGCGCATTGGTGGCGTTTCTCTTTTTTAATACCACGACTTACGTTCTTATCTCTGCGAACTTTGTAGTGTTCATACCGTTGTACGTGAACGTCGCTGTAGCTCAACTGCGCCTCGAACTGCAGTACTGGAAATCGGATTTCGCCTACCTGCCACTGCGGCTGCTGCTGTAGTTTAACTAACTGTCCCTTGCCTAGCTGACTCGTGCTTCCCATCTCCCCAGGCGTCGTGTTCCTGCAGTACGGCAACGAGACCAAGCGGGCACTGCTGCCCAACGAGATCACCTCGCTGTACACCGTGAAGGCGCTGTTCGTCCGCAGCTTTCCGCGCCAGCTCAACATGGAGTACCTCGACTCACCCGCCTGCAAGATCTACATCCTCGACTCCAGCAGGGATATGTTCTACGACATGGAGGACCTGAGGTGAGCGCAGGACTTCATGGAACCCTACCACCGCAGGGGGGACGTGACATGGAGGACCTGAGGTCAGCGCAGGACTTCATGGAGCCCTACCACCGCAGGGGGGACGTGACATGGAGGACATGAGGTGAGCGCGGAACGGCGAATGTGCAACATCAGCCTCGTATGGTCAGCCAGTTTTCATGTGTTTGCACCCAAAAATACAACAGATTCTCCATGCCAGGTTTATGCATACGACGCTCCCTCTCCCCATCGAAAAAATACGCTCTGCCGAGTGCCGACCGTAGCCTACCAAGCACGGCTACTGAATGCTGACCAAGGCACGGTGACCTGCAGGGACATCCGCGACCGGTCAGTGCTGCGTATCTTCGAGACGGGAGGAGGTGCGACGCACCAGCCGCCGCCGCCCGGCCACTCAAACGGCGGCAGTGCCTACGAGGACAACAGCTACTTCAGCGAGCCAGAGTTCGACGGCGACTACCAGAGCCAGCACGTGCACAAGGCAAAGGTGGGTAACGGACTGCCAGAGCCAGCACGTGCACAAGGCAAAGGTGGGTGTGATAACAGAGCCAGCACGTGCACACGGCAAAGAAGGGTGGGGGTGGACGGAGAGCAGGGAACGCGATGAACCTAGTATGCATCGTGCAATTTGTTTTGATGAAGCAGCTGCTCATAATCACGCAGCATTCTCAAGTTTATGTGATTTGAGAACTGATAGACCTATATGATTTTTCACTATGCATAGAAACGATTCTAACAAACATTTAGCGTCGTCAAACTAAGGAAGAAACACGCATCCCTCCTTACCATTGACCAGACATTCTCTGCTCTATTCCTGCAGGGGAAGAGTCGCGGCTACGACCTATTGAACTCGTTTCCGCCGGGAGCGCGGCCGCCGGTGGGCACGTACCCGCCTCGGGGCACAACTGACGCCACCTCCGGCCGCCTCCATCGTCCTGGTGCCGGTAAGTCATCGTTGTGGCGTCGGAAGTCATCGTTCTAGCACCGGTAAGTCACTGTCTCAGCCCGGTAAGTCATCGTCCAGGCGCCGGTAAGCAGTCGCACAGTGCCGATAGCCCACCAGAGCCGGTATTTACATACCAGGTGCAATTGCCTTGCGGCAGCCAGCCTGTCGACCATCCAGTAAGGCCGGCCCGGTCCGATATGCCGGTCCCGTAAGTCCGGCGTGGGAGGGCGTGGGTGGTCGGCTCCGCCACCATGTGACGGGCCCCGGAGACCGCGCGGGCGGGCAGTGCAATACCCACTCTCCCACTGATGGCTGGAATTCCCGAGCCGTCTGGGGCCTCATGGCGCTGTGTTAGCGCAGAGGACATTGAATCAAGCCCGTTTCGGATCTAGTGACGCCAAAGAACGCTCCGCCGGATCTCTAACATCCGATCCAAATCAAACTAGCATATACAATTTTGTACGGACAACTGCATTCTACACGGATAAAACATGTGGCGCTTTGATGTCACAGCTTTGTTCCTGCTATTGCTGACTTTCCCGGTCCACGTCCCCGGTGGTCCAGCCATGGTTGGTTGCCAACATCACAATAATCGATCTGCATTGATGAATACGTCTAATGGCTATTGAAAACTACTGCCGAAATGTGTGCACGAACCCTCTCCTCATTTCTATTGAGACATTTTACAGGAGTGTCTCTGTCATTTAACCCGGCGGCCGCTGGGCCTCCGCGCCACCCGCCGGCCGCTGGGGGGGGGGGGGGGCATATAGTTGCCCCCCTTTACTTCCGCGACGATATCGTCGCAACGCGAAGGGATAGAGAAGCGAAACTTTGCACACATCTTCCTGAATACCTAGCGGAGGTTGTGTCCGAATTTGGTGTCGATCCCATTTGAAATGACGTCACAGTGACGTCATAAGTCAAATTATAGATTTGCGACTCTCAGTTTCCTCACGATACATCAGATATATGGGACCGAATATAAAGGGCCGATTATTGGTTAGGAACTAGATGGAAGTGTACTAAGATGTTTTAGGATGACAGCAGATGCTGTCTAGTTCATTTACAGTTGAGTTTCATGCTCAGCGTCATCAGAAACGGTCCATATCGGAAAACGACAAAACTTTATGACGTCACTGTGACGTCATCTTAGGTGCTACAACCACCAAAATTTCTTCAAACATTGCCTAGGTGTTCATTTGAAGCTATGCCAAGTTTCACGTTCGTAGCTCATCGCGTTTCTGAGATATTCCACAAAACGTAAGGGGGGGGCAACTTTATGCCCCCCCCCCCCCCCCCAGCGGCTCGTGGGTTAAAGTTATTACACCAAAAGCACATAGGCTAACCAACCACTCTTTTGCTGGAGGGCCGTACGTACGGCAGCCCTGCTGAGTCCCTCACCCCACCCCACCCCCTCGTCTTCCGACAGGCCCGCCGCCGAAGCCGCAGCGGGCGGGGTACGCGCGCGGGGCCCGCTCTGTGGGCCCCGTGCCGCGCACGCAGACCGGTGTGCCGCCGCGGGGCCCCGGCGGGCCCTCCGTCTACATTGCCGGGGACGGCGAGTTCGGCGGCTCACCGGAGCGGGGCCGCGGCGGGCCGTACCCGGCCGGGGCCGGCTACGACGACCCGTACTACGGCCGGTTCCCGCCGGCACTCGTCGACGAGGAGGCCAGGTGAGGGACAGGAAAGGGGGAGGGAGAGTCAGAGGGAAGGGAGCGAGGGACAGGGAAGGGGAGAGGCCGATGATGGGAAGGGGAGGGAGACGACACTCGGTGTGCTAAGGAGGTAGAAAAAAAGAGGCAGCAGCTCTGGTAAAGGCTCCAGTTGCTTGATTCCGTTTTATAGTATTCCATCACTCCCGCTAATATTCGCATTCCGTATCGCGATAGTAAGCATCACTACATATAAGTATCTTTGATCAAAATGATCACAAGATCATGATAGCTGCCGACAAGGTTTATGTGTTGTGGACTTACCTTCCTCGTACTGGTAAAAAAGTAAAAATGAAAGCAAATAGGTATTTTGGACAAAATATGTAGGGTTTTTAATACAAGGAATGCATCTGTACCAAGGGAAGGTGAGACGAGTTTAAATCACGCACAAAAAAAATCAATAATTGCACCATGCGAGACATCCTTTCGCTTGGTCTACGATTGTTCTTAGCTCTCTCCCGTAGTTACTAACCATGTGCTCCGCATTACATTAACACCCTTAATTGGCATCGGTACTGCAAAATAGACCGACCTGAGAGGTTTTGTTTCAGTTAAAATCGAGCATCCGCAACGTTCGAAACTCTCAAAATACGGAAGAGTAACAAAAAGACACCTATTTAATAAATTAGCACTGATGGTCAATCATCTTCATTCGAGAGTAAATCGTCGCATCCAGGGCTGTCATATGCTTTTATCATCGATTCAACCCGACGCCCTTGTGTTCATGTCGGTCTTAGCAAGCGCTTTCTACGCGTAAACTACATGTCCATTCGGACACCGCTAAGGTGTAGAAACCCCGTAACACAGTATAGCCCCAGGCCACTAATTTCTGTGTAACACCGTACTTGAGTGTTTGTGCAGTGACCCACTAACCGTGTGCTGTCGATTACACCCCCTCCCCCACCCCAAACACACACCGCTGGCACGCCCCCTCCAGTCGCTAACCCCGGTCTCCGCCCCTCTACCGCCCGCTGATCTACCCTCTCTCCTCTACAGAAACGCCGGCTTCTTTGACACATCCGCAGCACGTCGAACCGAGCCCGTCGTGCGGTTCAACGACAAGTAGGGCCCTTTCTAATCGCATGCACTAATCGTACACTGCTTCATTACTGTAGACGACACTGCAGTGATGGAAGACATCTAAAGAACTGTTTAAAAAGGGTTCTAAGTTTATCGAAGTCATACTGAAAATGGTAAATGGTTGGTTTATTAATAGAGTTATTCATATATTTGCATTATGATTCATTTTCAAAACGGCATGTTTGGTGTTGGGCATAACTTAGAAGTACGATAAAGCATGCTATAGCGTATGCGATTTTTATTTGGTTCTTGGTGAATATTACATCAAAAGATGTCTGTTTTGTTGAATCCAATACAAAAGTTCTAAATTTGGTCTTTTAATTTTGATTTTCCTTCGATTGTTCCTTTTTTGGCAAGGCGGGGCATTTCAACATTAAATGTGAGTCGCGCAGTTTTTGCCCTTGATGGTTATTGTCTAAAACTGAGCCAAATTTTGCATGTCTAATCCATGATGCCATGCCATATTCCCAGCATAAAGTACTGGGGATACTGTGGCCGAAATGACGTATGTGGCCGAAATTATCTGTCTGACCTGTCTGACCTCTGTGACCCCATATGTCCCACCCGCGGCAGGGTGCGCGTCGAGTCGATGGAACGACAGCTGGCAAACCTGACGGGCATGGTTCACAAGGCGCTGAACGTGCCGCCTCGCGCACAGCGCGCCCACTCGGACCTGGAGTCGGGGTACCGCAGCGACCGCGAGCTCTTGTACCCGTCGCGCAGCACCAGAGGTACGTGCATACTGCGGCGGCCCTGTGACCCCCCACCCCACCCCCACCCCCATTCCGTACCGGGGGAGCATTAGCAGCGATTTTAATAAAGTTTGGTAACAGTAAGAACGTAACGCGAAAGACTTCATTTACGATATTCAGGGCATGTGTTTGTCATTGTTGAAATGGACGCTAACAAAAGTGAAGGTAATCGTCATGCTTTGAGAATGACGCTGTTGATAAACTGTGGGTCAGTTGCATGCACTGTGGCGTCTTCTCTGATCACTCATTAACAAACAGCTAACCGACTGCGGCTCTGCATTTCAGACAACTATCTAAAACCCGACAGGCCCCCAAAGTTAGGACGTGGTAAAGGTACGCTTACTGACTCGCATGAGCAAGAAACTATTCGTATGAATACGAGTACATAGACATGAGCACTTTTGGAAACACATATAGCATGACATTTCTCTCTTTCAGCACCAGTTCTATTGAATCGCTCTCTGCATTTACATTTTCAATTATAGCGTGATACGAATTTGGTCCTACTTGAACCGTCGCAAACAAGTGCGAAAGTAATCCAGCGTCGTTTTATACTATCTTGAAAAGATAAAATAGAGTATTTTCAAAGTGAGGCAATTCAGCTGTCATCATAACAGTTCCATAGCAAAACATTCATGCATATTTCTCATCTTTTCAAATAAAAACAATTTTTTCATTTCAACTTAATAATATGCTGGAAGACACATGTTTTGCTTACGTTAATTTGTTGGTGTTTTTTAACGCTCCTGTTCATATTTAATGTCACCAAAAAAAAAACATCACTAGCTTTGCCATCCGTAACAAGCAAAGATTTATACACAATTTGCTTAGCTTCAAACTCAGCATGGAACATTCCGTGGTGTTAACGTTACATTAACGAAACGTTAGCGTTGCCCAGTTGAGAAGATGTAGGGCACACCACGAAAAGATGGGTCAATCTCTTGCGTCCAACATCTCATACATACATCATAAGTGTCACCTAAGCCTTCCAAATAGGTTACTAGCCGAGGCATGCGTCTAACACTCATCTGAGGCTTTCTCTTCCGAAACACACATTGTATGCGTCGCTCAAACTCTATCTCATTGACCGGTCTTACACTATTTTGCATACGCTCCGACAACTGTTTCTATCGTGCCACGAACTGGCACCCTCGCTCTCTCCTCTTGCTGTACGGGTCTAAATTGCTCGAAATCGACTGCATTGCACGCCGGACCAATTGACGCACCGCACGAGGGGCTAATCTAATTCGTATTCGCGGGATTCAAATCAAGACGAATGTAGGTGATGTTTAGTTGCGTCAAAGAACGTGTCGACAGTTACAGTCATGAAGCTGAGGTGAGTTGGCCATCGATCATGGACGGTATGATGATCGACCATCGCGGTGCAATTGTTTTGGGTAGAATCTATTTTAGAGACTCATTTTTGCACGGCATGCACACAAGTGCATAAAAAAGGGCGGCTGAATTTGCATAATACCGCCAGACTTTGAGTTCCAATCACCGTTTGCATGATGCGCTGGTCGACCTTAAAACAATAAATTTTGAGCAAGCATAGCGGTGCACTTTCGCCCTAGTCTTATTACGTTAGCCTGACAAAATCGCACATGAGCAAATCATCTTGATCTCGGACATTCCCTGCGATCCGCCCTGACCAATATCTCTGACCGCCGCGCCGGCCTGTTCCAGACAAGTCTGTGTCGTTTGAGAAATCTGTCAGCTTTAGTGACGACCCGCACGGCCCCAACAAGCAGCACTCTCCGACACATGCCGGTAAGAGGGATAGAGTGGACCCGAACAATGCACGCGTCGCTCAGAAGAGTGGTAACCGACCGTTTGGGTGCACCTTCTCCAAAATGTGGAAAAATAATTAAAAATAGCTCAATTTTAATAAAGTCCTAACAAGCTGGCTGATCAATTTCTCGAAGACAAATAGTAACCAAAATAGAATAGTTATACCCACTAGCCACAGTACTCTACCCACTAATGCTTTTTACGCTGTTGTTCGTGTTCACTAACACATGTGTCACAACTGTTTGCACTAATGTGTCTCACTGGTAACACCCCAATTTGATATTAGTGTCACTGCTTTCACTGCTGGTGATGATCGCTAACACATGTGTCGATTCGTCAGTCTGCATAACCCGCTTCGCTTGGGTAACACTTTTTTACACATCCCAAGTTGTCATTTTAGAGCACTAACGCGTCATCCCCTGGAAGAAGGACCAGCCGAGTAGTGAGTAAGCGTAAACTGGGAGCAGCACTAACATGACGATCGATCGCTTCCAGCCGACAAGGTTCCCGTGAAGCCAGCCATCAAATCGTCCACGCTTCCACGCATGTCATCACAAGGTACTAACGGGCTGCAGTCGCCGCCTTACTTGGCTGTATTCGTGTCGAAGTCGGAATAGACTTTGTGGGTGCACTCTGTTGTTTGTGGAAAGCATGCAGAATAGGCTGCAGCACAGTTATCGTCTTCACGAATAAGCCAGTATTGTACTCTTGATGAAGTCTCGAGTTCCTGATTCGATGTTACGTTCTGTCATATAGACATGATTATTGTAGTTTTACGTCTTCAGTTGTTGTAAAATGATTAATTCATCCGATAAACACCAGCATGTCAGAATACCTATTATTCACGTGTGCGATCATTGGGTGCGTTATTCTAATAAGGTATATTCCATTGTATTCACTGGAGTTCAAAATGGTTCATTTATCATTTGTCTGGAAATGAATGGAAAGTGACAAAGTGCCACATAGCATGAAGCAGGTGCCTCGACTTGGCGGCTGCCGCCAATTTATACCAATCCACATTCACGTTCCCGGACAGTGGATTCGAGAAGCCCTACCAATGACCGGTGACCCTGTATGCCGACAGAGCGCATCAAGCCGGCGCCGCCGCCGAAACCGATCCAGCTGGTTACTCCGGACGGAAGGCACAACATTTACCGAGGTAGTGGTACCCGCACAGGTCACAGCACAACATTTACCGAGATAGTGGTACCCGCACAGGTCACAGCACATCTACGAAGATAGTGGTACCCGCACAGGTCACAGCACATTTATCGAGGTAGTGGTAATCACACAGGTCACAGCGCAACATTTACCGAGGTAGTGGTACCCGCACAGGTCACAGCACAACATTTACCGAGGTAGTGGTATCCGCACAGGTCACAGCACATATACCGAGATAGTGGTATAGCACAGGTCACAGCACATTTACCAAGGCTATACATAGTGGTACCCACACAGGCCACAGCACAACATTTACCGAGGTAGTGGTACCCGCACAGGTCACAGCACATTTACCGTGGTAGTGGTACCCGCACAGGTCACAGCACATTTACCGAGGTAGTGGTACCCGCACAGGTCACAGCACATTTACCGTGGTAGTGGTACCCGCATAGGTCACAGCACATCTACGAAGATAGTGGTACCCGCACAGGTCACAGCACATTTATCGAGGCAGTGGTAATCGCACAGGTCATAACACAGCATTTATCGAGGTAGTGGTACACTCAGAGGCCAGAGCACAACATGTACCGAGGTAGTGGAACCCGCACAGGTCACAGCACATCTATCGAGGTAGTGATGCCCGCACAGATCACAGCACAACATTTACCGAGGTAGTGGTGCAGTCATCCAGATAAGGAAGTGCTAAAAATGCTGCATGACTTCTATATAACCACGCATCCCTCTACCTCTCCTTTCTCTTTTCCTCTTCTCTGTCTTGTATGACCTCGGCTGACCTGTGACCCCCACAGACTTTCACCACGTCTCACCCTTCCCTTCCTCCTCTGTTTAGTATGACTTCGTCTGACCTTTGTGACCCCGGCAGACCTGCACTTCTCCCCCCCCCCCCCCCTCTCTGTCTAGTATGGCCTCGTCTGACCCTGTGACCTCGGCAGACCTGCACCTCTCGCCGGAGACGTACAACCAGCTGCGGTGCCTGCAGAAGAAGGCCCGTGACCTGCGTCAGGAGATGAGAAAACTGCGCCGGCTCTCCCAGGAACACTCGCTGGCCGTTCGGGAAATGATGGGAGATACTTTTTCAAAAATACGGTACGTACTCCCGACCTGTTACCCCCCAGATGATACGGTCAAAATCCAATTTTTGTAGACGACAAGTAGAGGTTGTTTGGAATTACTCATTGCATAAGTATGTAAATTACACCGGGCACTCGTAACACACAGAAACGGGTTGGTGCATGTACAGGTCTCGCGAGATTAAGCGGTAGGTTTTGCACTTTTACATTTCCGGTTATATCTCAGAAACTAATCGATCTACGATGAAGCCATTTTACACGATCATAACCGGCTTGTTACCCAACAAGTCGATCGCATCTTCAACACTTAAAAGCTTAAGACGACGAAGATATAGCCTGAAGTACACTAAATTTTCTAGGTGCAAAACCTACCGCTAAAACCCGCGAGACCTGTACTTAGATATCCAACATTATTCTATGGATCGCAGTTGTTCTTACACCAACAGCCATAGACGCACATGTGGGGAGGAATGAGCCCAGTAAATACAATGGTCTTTTTCAGGGTGTACTTGCTGGCTGACAATGACATGAGATTAGGAACCGTGGATCCCGAGGTCCTCAAGATCAGGAAAGAAGAGGAGGCCTACCGGGAAGTTATTCAAGGCATAGAGAAGGACCTAGGGTGAGAAAAACACAATTTGATAATCGAGTAACAGTTGTGCATTGTGCTTTTTTTCGATGCAAAGTAAGATAAAACGATGCCCGATTTCGCTGTTTGAAGTTTGTGCGTGCACTCTGTCGATGTGGACAGACGGTGTAGAAAGCGCTGCAGCACAGCTCGCGTCTTCACGAATAAGCCAGTGGAAACACATTTCTTTTCCAGGGAGGTGGAGCACCACGTGGAGGATCTCCGAAGCAGCGTCATCAACCGCCAGAGAAGGGTCAACCTGAACGATGTCGAAGGCATGGCGCTGATGCTCACCAAATCCAGGTGCGATCAGGGCCTCGTTTCATAAAAGGAATTACTTACGGCGTTCCGTCAATTATGCCAGATTTGGCGTATTTGATGCCAATTCGGTTTCATAAAGCCGGAGACCGGAGTAATTCACGTCATCGAAAGTACGGAGCTTCATTTACGGCAAATGCTCGATTCCGGACCAATTGATGCCATTTGGGTTTCATAAAACGACGTAATTAACGCCAAATATTTTATCAAGCTCTTGATATCAGTGGTGTAAACTACGCACAAAAATGTTGCGTGATTTTGAATTAATGTGAAGATTTGAAGCTAGTTTTTGATATATTTTATAACGTTGAGCCCGGTGAGGAAGAAAGAACAGCCAAAAAGAGAAAAAGAAACTGCAAATCTTCTGTACCAGTCGCTTTTTGTGGCCACTATCGGAATTTTGTTTATTCGCCGCGCCGCGCCACTTTCGTAGTTAGGCACTTCTGCTTCTGCTGGCTTTCTGCTGTTTTTAATATATTGTTTTAATAAAGGATGGTCATCAATATAAATTTTGTTTTTTTTTCATAAATAATTTCTAAGATCTAAATTTAACATAATTGTTTTATAATTTCTCGTAAAAAAAATAAGTGTTGACATGAAATTGTAATTTGTAGGACGCTTGATAAATTACGGTAACTACGCAAATGTGCTTAGTTACGGAGGTGTAAACAATTCCAGTTGTGGCTTTGTGAAACGGCTTTATTTGCGCTCCGTAGTTTGAAAGGGTGTGAATTACGGAAAGGTGTAAGTTACGGCAGAGCTTTATGAAACGAGGCCCAGCATGCGAATCACGCACTTACTGCTTACGACTCCATGTAATCGATAAACAAGCAAACGTTGTGTCAAATTGTCTTTCACAACACAGCCGAATTAAAAAATCGATATTCTAAATATAAACCCCACAATCACTGGATGTACGTTTTCAATATCCAGCATAACAACCAGTAAAACGCCTTTTGGGCGAAGAACGAGCGAGCGAGATAGTGAGCCCTGCAGGCCGCACGTGCGGAAGGGCGAGAGGGTACTTCCAACAGGCTTGCGCAAAGCACCCTTCTAACCGGTCGCTAACGGTCGGTGTACCAAATTTGAACGCAATCGGCCCAGCCGTTCCTGAGATCTGGAAGCGGCATTCTGCACGTGCGCACGTGCAAACGGGGTCCAATCTGACTTTTGCACGGCACCCTACTAATTGGTCCCCAACCGTGTACCAAATTTGAGCGCAATCGGCCCAGCCGTTCTCGAGATCTGGAAGCGCCCCCTGCACGTGCGCACGTGCAGTAGCACCTTAACCGCAACACATGGGAATGCATTGCCTGGTGGGTGCCTACCTGTATGCCAAGTTTCAGCGAAATCGTCCCAGTAATTACCGAGTTATTAAAATGGGAACAAATCTGACACCTCTTATTGTTGTATTTTGCACGTGCACTGGGGGTGACCCACATGCATCGAGAGTATCCTATTTTTGGTAGAAGGGATGCTGCTACCCTACAAAAATTACCGCAAGTCAATCGCCCAAGCGGCTGCTGAGATATGAGCCTCTAAAAATCACTACTTTTGCAAAACAGCTTGAACACCCTTGACTTTTCACGTGGCACGTGCCACGACGGTCACTGAGATGTATCAAAAGTAGTCAATTACGGGGTAAAATGGATGGGGCTACCCAGCAAAAAAGATCGCAGGCCAATCGGTGCAGCGGTTGCTGAGATATACGCCTCTCAAAAGCGTTACAGGCCGGGCCGGGCCGGGCCGCTCATACTGATATTTTTCCGTTATATTGAAAAGACTCGCTTCGCTCGCTCGCTCGTAAACACGAAGTCTGTAAGGTTCACGTATGGTGGTTTTCAGCAAAACGGTCACCGAGCTTCAGAGGAGGTTTCCGGAGATGGAGCGCAGCCTGCGGACTCTGATCAGCCTGGAGCGGGACAGAGTGCAGCGAGAGGAGAGGTGAGGGTTCTGATCAGCCCTTAGAGGGACAGAGTTCAGCGTGAGGAAAGGTGAGGGTTCTGATCAGCCCCTAGTGGAACGGCGGTGTCGCGAGGAACGAGCAATCTAAGTCCGCTTACGCCGTTGGCCAGTCTGATCAATGACATTACTGAATCGTCACGTGGAGGTTATGCATGAACGTGACGTGGATGAAGGCATTCGAGGCTAAGGGTCTAGCCCGACCTTATCAGGGTCAGGCCCTGATAGGTCCACCAACTAGGTATACCATTCTTTGATAGCAACACAACCTAACTAAAAGAGTATTTACGAGACACAACCAGCGTGACATCACTGGTCTCGGTTCCATTGCAGCTTTCTTGGAGCGGAGCCCCAGAGGCTGGACAACGCACTTCAACGAATAAAGAAACTATCGGGAACCCTGGTGACTTTAAAACGGTGAGTGAAAGGGAAATTTACACGAAAACTCCAGCTGTTCTGGTATTTATTTATTCGATGTCATGGAACAACAGGCGAATTGACGCCCAGTAACAGTCCATAGCAGTTATACGTTCGGAGCAGTGTAAACATTGCCTTTAGTCTTTCGTCTCTTACACATACAATCCCTCGATATACCAACCATATCTATCACACAGTCCATACAGTACATGCATAACACAATAAATACAGTCACGCGGTTCACACCAGGACTCACATGTTTTGTATATGTCGTCTTACTTTAGCCCGAACATCCTGCATTGAGTCGTGAAACAAATCCAAATCTGTTATCTCGAACATAAATTCATTTATGATAGTGGGTGCCCTAACAAAAAGCGAACCTTTCATAGTGTCGACCCGCGCAAATGGTACATTCATGACACCACGAGCTCCTTCAATCCTCCTTGTAATTCTTGGAGCAGCATACAGCGGAAACCGTGCCAATAGTACATGTGAGTCGAGGACACCTTTGTACAGTTTTTCCACAAACATGATATCGTATTGATGGCGTCTTTTCTCTAATTCAGTTACGTTAAACATTTGGAGCAAACGAGAATAATCAATATCGGATGGTATCGCGCTTCGAACCACGCATATCGATTATCATGCGTGGTTCGAAGTTTTTAGTTACATGTGGCTTTGTGATAAGTGATAAATATTTCAGCACACAGTAGGTAAAAAGGGGATAATCAAACCAGCTTCCATTGCTTTTGGAGAGCTACAACTCAGTTAGGGGCAAAAGAAGGTCGCATTAACCGTGTTTACATAGGGTTCCCTTAATCTTCCCCTATTTGTCTCTTAAATGTCCCTTATAAAGGAATCCTCTGTCTCCTTTACCTCGCTTCACTACAAATATGGCGCAACTAAGTCATTCTAGAAGCAGTTTGCAATTGTTACTTACCTTTAGGGCTCTCCCAAATAGCTTCCTGACTAGACACTGAGGTAAAAGTGATAGCACATGAAAGCTCAAAGCAAGAAAAATCAGAAAACTATCTGGCATTTAACATACTTTAAACGGCTGAGCTATTATTCAAGGAGGTGTAATCACATCCACGGCAATATCAGAACACCGCACCTGTCGAATTTCCGCCTTGACTTTCTGCCGTTTATGCGTTAATGCCACTTAAAAATCCTCAGTCGGCGCACGTGCGCTTGTCGAGTCGGGGACCACCAGTCGGACGATTCGGAACTGCCGGCCAATCAGCACGCCGCTTTTGTGATGTGATAGTTTGAGAACCACTGGATATGGTAGCGTAGCAGCTTTTGGAAAGGCGCTACGCTACCAAATCCTCCCCTATTTGTCGCTTAAAGAGGGAATTGAAGGGCAGGATAAAATTACTTCAAAATATGAATTGTTGAATTTCGAGTATTAAATAAGCCCAATTTATATTGTTTACAGCATAAACGATGCTTAGTATGCTTCTAACAACAATAGCGTCCATAGCAACGTTACACGCGAGCGCTATGATGCCTAAAATTCGATCTGAAAATAGGGGAGAAATAGGGGAAGATTAAGGGAACCCTATGTAAACACGACTATTGTCACTTAAAGCTCCACCGGAGCTAACACAAAACATGTGACACCCCACAGAATCCGCGAGGACGGTCTGAGTTGAGCGCGTTCTTCTGCATCCCACTGATAATCCCTCAGTCATGAGTCGATCATTCAACAAGCGGTTCTTTCGTTATGTGAGCCTATGAACTCTGACTGTCGCTGTTGTCCGCAGCCTGGCATCGGTTCAGGACCAGCGAGTTCCCGACCACGAGGAGGCCCAGACGGCGGCTGGCAAGTCGACAGACTCGACTGGTCAGGTCAGTGGCGCTCAGCGGCACACATGTCCCTTCAGGGGCTACGTGACTCGTTATGAGTGATGGTAATCATGTGCATTTAATAGTCGGTTTACAACCGTTTTTTAGTTACGTGAACTAAAGTAAATAAAGGCAGATTAACATGTATTTTCGTTGTAAGCAATCCAAGCAGATTAAATGTAAAATTCATTCTAATGTTAGCATCGATATGACCTTGCATGAATCGTGATAGAATATTGTAACACTAATCTTAACTCAGGAAAAACGTGTGACATTGTTAACTGCACATGCACACAGACATAACAAACTTCCACCCTGTCTCTCTGACTCACTTTCGGACTGCTATATCCCGCAAGTCGCGATCGATCGGCAGTTCAGCAAGCCACTCTTTCTCCCCTCCGGTCCTCGGCGACCAAGCAGAGGTCCGCTGACATGTCATGTCACAGCCCGGTGACATGTCACAGCCCCTTCTCAGCAGCATGGCCCTCTGCTGCGGCGGATGGAACAAAGACCGGCCAGGTTCCAGCGCCCCCTGCTTCACATCACTGCTCCGCACGAATGCATTTATTCCATACCTAGTGTCCATGGACTGCTATAAACATTTGTAACAACTTTCCTTATAATAATGGACTAGGTGGCGCATTTTGATAAATATATTGAACAATTTAATACAAAAATTAAAAACTACATACAGACAGCATTACGGAAAAAGGCAAATTTATAAAGGTATAAAGTTATAATGCTCATGAAACTCAAAGTCTTTCATCAGTATGAGGCAACAGAAAAAGTTCCTGAATTTATCAATCAGCTTCAGCCTTCAAAAAGAAATTCAGTTTAATTGTGCAAAAATAGACAGACAGATTTCATGCTGGTTTGTTTATAATTGATCGATATCTGGATGCTAACAGTGTTTACCGTTTACGGGTAAATAGCGATGCAAAATAAATGCATTTTTACATTTTATGATGCTTGGATGATATGGGTTGCAAAACAAACACATTGATTTTTTTCAATCAAGAGTGACATTATCGCTTGAAGATAACGATAACAATTCATAACACCATAACATTGTGATATGTGACATGACTACCAGTGTCATAGTTTTTTTTAAAGTCATAGATAACATGTATCTGATTCATGTTATCTATGTTAAAATATATTATCAACAAGCTTCTGCACCTGCCTGATCGTCTGCTTATACTGTTTGTCTGTCTGCCTGCTTGTCTGCTTATTCCCGCCTATCTGTCCGTCTGTCTGTCTGTCTTTTTCCCTTTGCTATGCACGCCACAATGTACATTGTACATACATCCACACAGGCGCTATTGGGTGCAGTTCAGTCGTCGGCACTGTCTCGTGTGTGTTTGAGCGGTGGTGTGAGGTGGGTTTTTCGATAGCTGACCAGTATTTTTTTGCACTGTAGCGGCCGAGGCTTCTGCAGTGGCGGCAGAGCTCTCTCTTTAGGGAGAGAGTCGCCGGGACAGAGTACATGAACGCTCAGTCTATATTTTTGAGTAGACAGTGCTAGAACCCGTAGTGCGGACATGCTATGTTGTTTGTAGTCAGTAGTCATTCTGCATGAGACTTACATGTGTTCGATGCTGCATTGAGCGTTCGATGTAACCTTTTTTGTGCAGACTATAATATTATTTTACAAAATCAACTACAAATCAATGGAGTATCGAGGTATACTCCAGACTCATATAAAGCACAGCTTGCTGCACATGTCCCGAGTAAAGACCCATGAACTATATCGTCTGATCGCACACTCCATGATTAAGTTTATTGTGCAATGTCTGATGCTTCCCACAAACATGCACCTGCATCAACAATTGCCTTAAATCAGTTCAAGACTTTATTTTGCATCATCCTGTTTACATTTTCTTTGCTTTGTTATATAAACTTTCGGTGTCGATTGCCACATGTTTGCAATCCCCTACGCAAGCAACGGACCCGAGCTGTTAAAAGTTCGGAATATTTCTTTTTAACCCTCGCCCGTATAGGGGGGGGGGTCGAACGGACCCCCCCCCATGGTTTTTCGCGAATAACTCGCGTAAAAAGCGGCCGATCGTGACGAAACTTTCAGTACCCTCGCGTTCATCAATTTTACACCTACCCTGAAAATTTCATGACCCTGACCCAAATGACCTTTGACCTGTGACCTACTTTTCGAGACCATGTTTGGCCGGAATCGCGATTCGGCGTATGTCGGCTCGCATTAGCCTCGCGTTTGCAGTCTTTTCGTGGTTTCAAGCGTTCAAACATGTGATATGATGTTGCCCCCATGCATTAGGGTGGGTGTCAAGGTCACCTGAAGGTCAGGTCAGGTCATTGACCTTTGATGACCTCGGTTCACTTTTTCGAGTTTTACATGTTTCTAGGCCAGTTTTTAGAGCTGAATTCGAATTTAGCAACCATATGAACATTTACGAAGTAGTTTTGGTGCCTTCGTAACATGTTACGAAGCTGTCAGAGGCAGTTGCCACCTACTACGAACACCCTTACTGGTTGACCTGACCTGACCTGACCCGACCCGGCCTAAATGCATGAAGACATCATTTGTGATCAAAACTAACATGATATTCGTGATCAGCACCCCGAAAAACCCCATAGCAGCCACACTTTACGACGTTCTAACAGGTCCCGATTTTCCCGACTTTTGGGTCATTGACCTGACCTGCAAGGTCAACCAATGACCTAGGACCTTAAAATTGGGTATCATCGGCTTCTTCTCGTCACGGGCAACACGCTCGTTTTTTCCGCGAAGCTCTAGCTCGATCAGGGGCGAAACGGCAAGGGGGGGTCCAACGGACCCCCCCCCCCCCCTTATACGTTCGCGGCTGGAAAAACACCAATACGGGCGAGGGTTAAACATAAATGCTATTGGAACTTTACGAGGCCTCGTACGGGTGTGTACATTCACATTCAAAAAGCGCTCGGTCAAAAGAAGGGCCATAGAAATACGAAAATCAGGGAAGCTAAATAAGAAATGAATATACTTTAAAGAGACGATAGTGTCATTTGTGATTTGTTTTCAGACAATTTCTTCCGGAGCGTTTTCGTGGTTTCCAACGGTGGATTACAAAACCATGTGTCTCTTGACCCATGCGCTATTTGAAAACATACGTATATGTAGTGACATAGCTTCATCCTATGCATTTTTGAAGCCCGCAGTTTATGACTCTGGAATCTGGATGAATGGCTGAGCATGTTTGTGCTATTTCTCTCCGACAAAGCGGCATGAGACCACAAACCTTGTTGCGCTGGAAACGATTCGTGCCGGGATACCTAACAGAGAGTCAATAGGCTGGCAGATGCTATTTTTCATTTATAAAAAAAAAGAAACACAGGTGACCAGAAATATGTCATATATGTTCTTCAGAATGCAATGGTTTTACCAACGAGCGCGCATTTTTCATTGGTCAAAGGACGTTGCCATCTGGCTTACACGACTTCTGCGCCTGCAATCATACTGCGCAGCAATGATCGCTACCTTCATCTTTCGACTCTACATGGCAGTAGCATAACGACTGCAGTAGTACTGTGCCGCAGTGCTCAGTGATTTCATCTCCCGCCGCTAGATGGCAGGAGCAGAACGCCTGCAGTTATACTGTGCCGCAGTGCTCACTAGTGATTTCAGCACTCGCCCCTAGATGGCAGTAACAGAACGCCTGCAGTTATACTGCGCCGCAGTGCTCACTGCTCAGTAATTTCATCACTCGCCCCTAGATGGCAACAGCAAAACGCCTGCGGTTATACTGCGCCGCAGTACTCAGTGACTTCACCTCTCGCCCCTAGGTGGCAGTAGCATAACGCCTGCAGTTATACTGCGCCGCAGTGCTCAGTGATTTCTTCATTCGCCCCTAGATGGCAGGAGCAAGACGCCTGCATTCATACTGCGCCGCAGTGCTCTTATGCCGGCACGGTTATTCAACGGTCTGAGCCACAATTTTCGGAATCGTTTCAGTTTGGATGGGGAATTATGCAATGAGTGTGACTCATGAAATTGGCAAGGTCGGTGACGAAATATTTTCGTCCCAACCATGGTTGCGAATGTTGGTTTAACAGGACTGGTAAACTAGGAAGATTTAGAAATGCACTAGAAAATACGCACAGGTTTTTTCTCAATTTTGAAACCATCGTCCCTCCAAATTCGATGAAAAATAGTACCCAGGGTCATCACGGGATGCAAACAAGCCTGAACATTTCCGCTATTCACATCAATAGGCCTTTTTAGTTAGTGCGGAACATCTTTTTTTACCCTGCACTCCCAGGAAATCTTTGTAGGCTTTAGGACTTCAAAACAGGTCATCCAATGACAAACTTTACGTGGCATTCACCTTGCAATGTCATTTCGATTATTAGTTGTGTTCATTCCCAAATACCTATACATGGAAGCTGAAGTGGAAAAATGATTCTTGATTGCAAGCTTCGTCTGAGAACACGTCACAAGCTTAGTCACAAAACACTATACTCACTTCACGAAACTCACGTCCACTCATTTCACAATAAGTCATTCTGAAACACAGGTTTCCCTCATTTAACTGTACATTGTGTACAACCAAAAGCTACCCCCACTAGGTCATCACAGTGCATATCTACGCGTATCGGTCTAAGTTCTTGCTCAGAACATCAGGTATCCCTGATTAGGTATCCGTACAACCCACATACCTACATTTATGCTAACGCCAATTCCAATTCCAGTTTCCAATTCAATGCCAATTCATGCCATACCTTTTCAACTCAGAGCAGCCCAATTCACCCCGAATATGTAGAATTCACCACTGCACCCTTCCAATCGTCCGCGCTCCCTCCGTGCGCCAGTATTCCCATGAGCCTACGGTGCCCCCGTGTCCCCGGCTCTGCGCGCTCCATCTGACGCCCCTCCCTCCCCCACCCGTTGCAGCCGGCGTCCACCGCCGCCGCCGCGGGCGACCAGCCTTCCGCCGCCGCCGCGCCGCCATCAGCCGCCGCCGGAAACCCGCTCGATGCTCTTCTGAGTGAGCTGCAGACATTCAGCCCCGAGCGGCGGCCCGGGGTGCGGCCGGCGCCGCTCGGCGGTCGCACCTCACCGCCGCGCGAGGAGGCGGCGCCGCGGCCCGCGCCGCCGCCACCGCCGCCGCGCACCTCCTCCAAGTCGCCACTCATTTCGCCGAGCTCGCCGCTGAGCCCGCACTACCCGGCCGCCCAGCGCGCCAAGCTCTCACTGCCGGCGGACAACGCGGGCGGCACCGGCACCGGCACCGGCGTGCGGCACCCGGCACCGCTGGTGAGGACCAACTCCGAGCCGGGCGCCGCCGCACTCTCCTCCACGCTGGCTCTCAGCGACGAGAACCTGCGCCGCGACGTCGCCTCCTCCAACTCGTCCAGCAGCGAGAGCGTCAACTCGCAGGAGGGCCTGCAGCGGAGTACGCCAGAACGGACCGGCGTGCTGTCGCGTTGTCGCCAGGAGGCGCTCGAGCGGCGCGAGACGGAGCTGCGTCGCAAACAGCAGGCGTTGCAGCAGCAGTACGCGCGGCTACAGGCCATGAGCTCCGCGCCCCGGGCCAACGACGTCAAGAAGACGGGCAGCGAGGGTGACCTGCCGACCAAACTGGGTGGCCTGAGTCTGGCGCCGGCCACCACTGGGGGCTCGCTGTCCGACCTGAGCACGCCGGCCGCTCATCAGCAGAACGTCTGAGCGGAGCGGACGACCCGCGACCCGCCGCGCAGTCAGCCCGGAGGGGGTTCACGCCGAGACCACCGGTTGTCTGCTGAGCGGCATAGCTGGACGCCAGGACGGGAGGCGTGCGTCGGGTGAGGGATTCGGGAGGAAGAATTGACTCAAGCTTTCATACTCGCTTCGTGTGCGTTGGTGTTCTAGATATGGACGGGCGATGGTAGAATTAACTGTAGCTTTGACTTTAGCCACTTGTCAACCTTCCAGGTCCTTCCCCTGAAGTCTGACTCTGTGACTTTCCGGGACGACAAACTCGTAAAAGAAATGAATTCCTTTCGTCACATTTGTCGACAAGAGGAACCTAGTGCAATTTGAAGTTGACTGGTGCTACGCAGTTGATTCGGAAGCGTTATTGTTCGTCTGTGAAGCTGATGACGGAGGTCCAAGCGGCAGCTGTTGGCAGCTAGTTCTCCCTCACGGGCAGTGATTTTCTTACCGACTGATTGGTTTATACCCTGATTGTTGACTGATGTGTCCTCGCTCAACGCTCGCCTGTGCCATATCCGTGAGACGCGTCATCCGTTAACTAGTAGAAGATTGGCAGATGGTAGAGGAAACGGCCAATGAGTTGATGGTTATCGAAAGTTAGCACGTCACAGCCTGACGCAGGAGCTGGGGGTACTCAATGCCATAAGCAGTAGACATAAGAATGACTTTTCATTGAAGCTCGACATCGTGTTGGCTGACGGTGGCCAATGTGCAGAGGCCGCTCCTCGCGTAGTGTTCTCTCCCCGTGTGTAGCTCGCTCGCACAATCACCCGTGACTTCATTTTGTGGGCGACAGAGGACTCCCATTCCTCGATGTGGCGTAACTAGCGCGACGAAACATGAACTGCGACATGGGCGTGCGCACGTGACGTTTGTATGTCTAGACCAGCGACCAGTGCCAACATCAGCTTCAGCCTGCTCATACCCTAGTCTAGAGCCCTGACCTTCCCTCGGACCTGCGCGCGGCTCGCCGCGGACGGCTTGTGATGGGCCTCTGGGAGTGAGAGGCTCAGCGGGCGGGCGCGAGACGCGTGATGTGATCTGTGATGAGTGATACTCAGTAGGTACTCAGCAGCGCGGTCCTCCGCGCCGGCCAGCGGCCTCCACCGACAAATCATCGCCCGACAGATACTTCCCAGCGCGAGCGCAGTGACGACGACGACAATACGTGGTTTCAGCCATTGTTTGCATGTTGTATGGGTGAATGTTGACATTGGAGGCGAACAAAGTTTCTATGAGGCGCAATACATTTTGGTTGGATGATAATAGTTTGGCGGCAGAGGGTTGAGACAAACATATAAAGGAGCCAGCAAGAGCTCTTCATCCGATCCAGCACCCATCAGCAGCAATGCAACATGAACCGAATGTATGCACGGTACAATCCACATTTTTCATCGCTCTAACTCCACTGGGTCAATCACAATCTGCTATGAAAATTGGGAAAATGTGACCTTTGGGCTTTGTTTACCTCACTTATTTAGGTCAAACGGCCAGTAGTGCCGACATGAGTCACGGAGTTCTCCACCCAAGGGCCGGGTTTGGTGAGAGTTTCACGTCGATCAGAGGACCTGGGATCGACCTGAAACTCGCACCCGAGATGTTCCGAATATGAGCTGAATGAGATGTCCATCAAGACAGCCCATATTCAGCACACCTCAGATCAAGCTGAAACTTGCACACAGTAAAGGCCGTGGCCGGTGGCATACCCAATGCACAGCCCAAACCATTCGGCGGCGTGGCACACCCAGCCGTTCGAGTTCAACCTGTAGAGAAGTCAGCAAAGGTCACGTGACCCAAATTTGCAAGTTCCAGCTTGATCTGGTGTGTCCCGAATCTGGATTGAATCCGGGCTGAATCCGGGCTTCGACAAAGCGGGTGTCGTTTTTTTGTACATTTTGTCCTGCCGAGGTCAAACGGGGTCACACATCGAAAAGCGCTTTTCACAAGTTACTACGCTTATCCGCTACCCGATGACATGCTTTGGTTTGGAATTCGGCCGATCCGTACACTCGAGAACCGCTGTGCAAGTGTATTTTCAACAGAACCTACAAAAGACCTTAGGTCATCGCATGACCTTCAGTGGTCAAATTGCTAGTGGGAAATAACATTGGGTGCTGGTGTGTCGTTTCGTGTTGGTTTACCGCTCTACCTCCACTGGGTGCGTCACAATCCGCTGTGCAAATTTGGGTTCATATGACCTGTGCTGACCTTTGCAGGTCGAACGGTTTGGAGTGCCATCGAATCGCTTGGGCTGCGGATTGTGTACAGGGTGATTCATAGCCGTGACCAAAAATAAATGAAAAATAGGAAATGCTTCCATGTTACCTGTGATTGCCAAGTAGGTACCATATGAAACCAGTAGCGGCGGAACACCTTCAATTAAGGGGGGGGGGGGCACTGCCGACTTTTGGTCCCATTCTTTCCATCCAACGCCCATAGGGCTAATACCTATTAAAATGCCAAAATCAAAGGGGGCACGGTGCCCCGGTGCCCTTCCCGTTCCGCCGCCTATGTATGAAACAGCCAAATCTGAAGTTTTAATAATTCTAAAGAAGTATAAATTTGACGTTATAGTATGCAAGTTTCAGTTTCATCTAAGGTTGAGGTGTCCCGAATCTGGGCTGAATCCGGGCTGAATATGGGCTGTGTTGATGGACATGAATATGAGCTGTCTTGACGGACGTTACTTATTCCTTCGAGTGCATCAGAAAATAAGGACTCAGATAAACGATTCAAATCAAAACGAAAAATATGCAGATTAGGTACAGATGGGTGGATAGTTGGGCACCTGGCGCTGCCAGGACTCACCTTTTGCAGTTTTGCTTGAGCTCCGCGGACCGCGAGTGACGAACATTCCAGAAGCTCTTCCGGCTTTCTCTGCCTTTTCGCAGTTTTTATCCACACTTGAAGCACACTGACACCGACCGACCATCACACATTCACGTCACGGTGTCGGTTATGGCGGCAGGTCCCGATGAGTTACCACGCTCGTCAAACAAGTAACAAGTAATAACATTCGCCGGCCACTGCAGCCCATCAAACGTTCGCCTTCCACCACAACCCGCAAACCACTGCAATCAAAGACAAATCGCTCGCATTTTACAGCACCGAAACCACGTGCACGGCGCTCCATGCAACGCCTGCCGCGCGCGTTTCCAGACTGGAGCATCTGCGCACGCGCAGACCCCCCCCCCCCCCCGCCCTCAACGCCCGGGGCAGTCCTCCCCCTCCCGCCCGAGACCGCGCCCGAGCTGCTTGGCCGGGCAGTGACTCGAAGGAGTAAGTAAGGACGAAGGATGCCAACTTATCGGGGTGAGTGATCTCGGATCCGTCAGAATCTTTATTCAATTTTATGAGAAAAAAAACGTTTTACTATGAGAGAAAACAGTTGCATACGCCGGGGCCGTCGAAAAGTCATTGCGAACCAGTAGCGCGGAACACCTTCAATTAAGGGGGGGGTGGCACTGCCGACGTTTGGTCACATTCGTTCCATGCAACGCCCATAGGGCTCATGTTAAAATGCCAAAAGCCAGGGGGCACGGTGTTCCGATGCGGTGCCCCCCCCCCCCCGTTCCGCGGCCTATATTGCGTACCCGAGCACCCACAATGAGCGGGCGTATGCATTCGTTCCTATCCTGATTCCTGACTATTGCAATTAGAGACACAATCATGATCATACCTGACTGGTCTTGCCTGGGCTGACTGATGTAGCATGGTATTTGAAAAACGAGGATCCAAAATCGCAGATTCACGAGTTTTCTCGCCAAGGCTTCTTTCAAACTCTTTGGAGATCCATGCTGACCAGGGGGAGGCACTCGCCTTGGCCGTATATGGGCCAGAATGTCTAACGATTTCCGCCATGTTGTGTATACCAAAGTCTTGAAAAGTTGATCACTGCAATCAAACTGCAAGCATGAAGCAGCAGCACTTTTGAGTAGTGTACCTCTCACTAAACTGCACCTCTGCTAACGTACATGCAATTTATATTTCTGGTATACACAACATGGCGGAAATCGATAGACAAAAACAAGTCACCAATGCTCCTTCCAGTATATATTAGAGTTCAGTGATGCTGACTCATGCCGACTTATTTTTGGCGCATTCAACTTATCAATACTGAAACAAAGCTGCAAGTTTTCCTCAAATCTGTAGTCCACTTGACGCGGAGCATTTCGATGGGGCGCACCTGCCAGGGTCGCCCCGCTCCGCCTGTTCCATCTTACCGCGCGGGGTAGGATAGACCGGCCCTCCATCATGTTCCGTGTCGTGGAGCGGCCGCGGTCCGGCTGGAAGCCGGCGGCCAGCCAGGATCCGGATGAGGAGAAGCCGTTCCTCTCTGCCACGGCTCGCTCCGACCCGACGCTGGATCTGCTGAGTCTCTGCCAGTTCTGCCACACCGGTCCCTCGGGCGAGGTGTCCATCCGACTCTGTGGTAACGAGCTCACACAGCCCCGCCGCGGCATTTATGACGACGCTACCGCCGGGGAGCTAGTGCAGAAGCTCGCCTCGCGCCATGAGATCACCGATGTGGATCTCAGCTACAACCGGATCGGAGACCGCGGCGCACTGGCGCTGGCGCACTGTCTGCGCGAGGGCTGGCGCGTGCGGCGCCTCAACCTGATGAGCAACGAGCTAACGGAGCGCGGCGCGCAGCACCTGAGCGCCGCGATGGCTGCGCCCGGCGCCCGGCTCACGGCGCTGCGGCTCAACGGCAACGAGCTGGGGGCGGAGGGCGGCCGTCACATCGCCTGGCTCATCGGGCAGCCGCACTGCGTGCTCACCGAGCTCGACCTGGGCCAGACGGGCCAGACCACCGGCAGTCTCAACTCCATTCTGACCGCACTGCGCAACAACACCTCACTGCGCGACCTGGTGCTCGACCGGCCCCTTCTGCCCGACGGGTGTGACGAGGCGGCCGCGCAGCTCAGCGTGGTGCTGCGCGTCAACTCGACGCTGCGCCGGCTCAGCGTGCAGAAGTTCAGCCTCACCGACGACCAGATGCGGCTGCTGTGTGACGGGCTGGCCGGGAACTCGAGTCTCACCGAGCTGGACCTCACGGCTAACCGTCTGCACCGAGACGCTGTCCGGCACCTGGTGGCCGCTCTGGCGGAGAACGGAGCGCTCCGGGTGATCCGGCTCTGTCACAACCGGATCCAGACCGAAGGCGCCCTGTGGCTGGCGCGAGGACTGACCGAGCACGGCGCCCGCGACGAGCTGCACATCCGAGCCAACGACGTCGGATCCGACGGACTACTCGCTCTGCTCACCGAGCTCAAGTACGACCGGCTGAAGCGGATGCACTTCTGGGGCAACCCGTGGTGCGCGCGCGTGCCCGCTGAGGTGGACGTCCTGTGGAAGACGGGTGTGGTGGACCCGAGCCGCGTGGACGTGCGGCCGTATGTGGTGGATTACATGCCGCACCTGGCCGAGCTGAGTCAGACGGATCGGCTCGAGTACTACAATGTCACGAGGTACGGCGACAGGACCAACGACAAGGTGCGCATCGGCTACACCGTTTAGGCGGCCACACGGAGAGCAGAGAGCGCGCGACACAGAGCAGAGCGGGTACGACACAGAGCAGAGAGCCCGCCCGGTGAGACGGTATTAGTTACTTGGTGCGATACGAATACAGTGGTCTGCAGCGACATTGCAGGGTACGAGACGTACGGAGACACGCAATGAACGTAGATCAAATATGAAGTGTCCGGAAATTTTCGCAGTTTCATTTAACCCTACTTTACTATTGGGACCGATGAGGTGTGTGCAATTTCCGTTACTAAAAGCGAAGTAATCGTGCTGTATGATTTATTGATCACAACTTTATATCATCACATACTCTAAGTCTTATCAAATATCCACATCATTATTGCAACATCCATCGTCATTATACATTATAACCTTAACATATAAACCGCGTAATAGTTTGTTCAAACACAAGACCTACGGGAAACGAGAAGTAAATAATAAAACAGTTATCACAATCCATTCAATGCCCTCAATCAGACTGTTTAATGTTTATATGATCCACATCCATATCACATTAAGCACAATCGCAGCAAAGGTACGTTAATTATTGTGATCTAATCACACGAGGGAAGTCACACATCTTAGTCGAGGAATCTCACAATCAGAAGGCACCACTGCAGCGCGCGGACGGACCACGCTGGTCTCTGATCACACAGATCACAGGTTCAGCCTGATAGTCAGTAAACCCGTCCCAATCAATGCAATCATCAATGCAGTATGCAGCCCTGTGTGAAGGACCCGTCACCGACACAGCAAAGGTAAGCAGGGTATCTGCCGTCACAATCGGCCTGCTATAAGGCACCTGAGAAAGGTGGTAAACCGACCCGCACGTTTCCGTTTACTATACGGTGGAAGGAAACGTCACAGCGTTTATCTGACGCGACCTGACCCATAAAGGAAGGAAGTCCACAATCCAGCACCTGATTTATGGAAGCACAACACCCGGGATTACATGAAAACGCCCGCATCGCCAGTGGGTAAGGAAGACCAGCGGCCTCGGCCGGGGATGGGGGTCATCGCGAAAGGCTATCCTCTTACGTGCACAAGGGACACGCTGAAGACCACACATAACAAACATTTAGTAACTCGCATCACAAAAAAAGATTCCTAGGTTAGAACTACTGAGAATACCATCGATTACAATGATGAGAATACCGTCGATTGCTCATTGAAACGGTCTGATGCTGCTAATAATAATGCCCCACTAAAAGCGTTTCCAACGTTTTAGCACATTGGCAACTGGAAAAGGGTGTAAAATATACGTAATGCATCTATATGACTAGCACTAAAACTGTCATTCGTTCATCTTCACCGGACACCCGAGTACTTTGGGATTTAGACATGGTTCGAGTACATGTGAGTGGCTGTCATTGCGGAACTCACGACAATGAATACACCTAACGTGATAATATAGCCAATAAAATACACCCACTACGCCCACTATACTATTGCACTACAAACTCCACTCGTTGCACTAAGATCACTATCTAACCTCAGAACCCGTCATGTATACTCGTAACGGGTCTGGTTACCATATTTTCCCCAGAGTGCCTCTCACCTGACGGCGTGCCGTTGATTACCATAGAGTCGCTGCCAGCAGCCTACCGGGCCCAGCCCGTGATAGCCACAGTAGTAGCAACAGAAGACGCCGGGTCCTGCCCGGATGTCCAGGGGAGCTCAGCTGCACTGTAGCGGCGGCGGGAGCCTTTAGCGGCGGCGTGGCTGGCCAGCCCTGCCTTGCGCCGGCGGAGGCGGGGGTAGCGGCGGCGGGAGCCTTTAGCGGCGGCGTGGCTGGCCAGCCCTGCCTTGCGCCGGCGGAGGCGGGGGTAGCGGCGGCGGGAGCCTTTAGCGGCGGCGTGGCTGGCCAGCCCTGCCCTGCGCCGGGGGCGGCGGGGGCGGCGGCGGCGCGTGGCCGGGCTCGGCGCCGTCCAGTCCGGCCCTGCTGACTGGAGCCAGTCGGGGCAGCGCCTCCTCCAGACAGGAAACCAGGGCGCAGCTCACTTGACGACACCCGGTCACGTTCAGGTACTGCAGACTAGCGCCATGGGTCATCAGCGCGCGCACAGAGGCGTCCGTCAGCTCGATACAGCCCTGGGGAGAGGGAAACAGGCGTCCGTCAGCTCAATACAGCCTTGAGGGAGAGCGGAGACGGTCAGTCCTAGTGAAAGAGTGGTAGTCTCAGCGCTTTACAGTATGCAGTCCAGCTGGTGAGAGGGGGAGACGGTCAGTAACTCTAGGGATACCAGATACGGTTAGGGATGCAGACAGAGAAACGAAGAGCACACCCTCCTCCGCGCTCTCCGCTCCCATTCGCAGCTTTCCCTGCGCGCCCCTCGCCGCCGCTCACCTGCACGTCCAGGTGTTTGAGGCGGCGGGCGTGCTGCACCAGTCCGGTCAGACCACGGTCGGTGAGCGACGCGCAGCCTGCCAGGCGGACCCACTCGAGCGCCGGGCAGTGTCTGCCCAGCAGCGCCACAGCACCGTCCCCCAGCTGCGGGCAGTGCGCCAGGCTGAGTCGGCGCAGACCCGCGTGACGCACTACGTGGGTGACGCCGATATCGCTGACACGACTACACTGGGACAGGTCGAGCTCCACCAGACCTGGCGGCAGGGCGGGGCAGGTCAGATTAGGTCAGGTCCAGCTCCAAGAACCTGGCAGAAGGGCGGGGCAGGGCAAGTTAACTTCAAATCGACGAGACTTGCCGGCACACGGTCAGTCCACAGTAGTATGCAGAAACAGACCCAGTCAGAGGCCAGTCACTCTCAGCACCAGGGTCAGAACATCATGCCGTGGCACTGGGAGACGTGTGTGCACTAGCATAAGTTTCACGCTATCATCTCTACGCAGACCCATCGCTCCTACCCCTCAGGTTCAGCAGTTTGACCCACCCACCGCTCTCAACCCTCAACAGGCTGACTTCCCGGGTTTCAACCTACCGCTCTCACCCTTCAAGTCCAGCAGGCTGACCTGGCCTATCACTTCCCCTCAGGTTCAACAAGCTAACCCGACCCACGACCCTCACCCTTCATGTTCAACAGGCTGATCCAACCCACGGCTCTCACCTTTCAGGTCCACCAGACTGATGCCGGAGCCGGTGTCGTTGAGCTCGATCTGGCTCTGGACCAGCTGCTTTCGGCCGGCGTCGCTCCATATCTCGCGCTCGTGCCGGCTGCGCAGTGAAATGGCGTGCGGGCTGCGCTGCGGTGTGACCAGCGCAGAGGGCGGGGGCTGCTCGGCCGGCTCCTGGCGGCAGGCGGACAGGGAATGGTGGTGGTCAGGGCGGGTGGTGGTCAGTATCTGTGCAGCGTACAGGACATGGGGTCGAGGTATTGCATACCGGGAGGCTGGGAGCATAATTACATTGTTGTGAAGGGGGTCTGGGACGAGGAATCCACAAGCGATCATGATATTCATGAATCCACGAGGTTACCACAACTAAGCAGTCTGCACAACCCCAAGTTCATAACTCTGCCAAAATGGTTAAACTTCTAGTAGATTGAGGGCCAGAATAGGTGGAGTATCTTTCTTTTTCATTTATCAAGGCCATTAAATGCATATTCATGGTCTTAACTGGGCAGAAAAGGCAATGGTGAAGTTGAACAATATGGGACGAACGGGATGAATCAATCCCCACAAATCATTCGACCATAACAAAGCACCAAGTAGCGCTGCTCCATATCTATCAGTATCATTACTGATACTATCTCTGTCGTTAAACGCTGATAATACAGAGGACAAACAGAGATGCATCTTATATAACCGGTAGTTCTGTTACATAACGAAGATACCGATAATGGTACTCAGAAACATTTAGCGCGCTAAATACAACGCACTAGCGGAACCGTTCGTCAGGCCCAGCGCCGACATTAGCGCTGATCAGAAAATATGACAGACTTATCGACGACAGAGCAGATACTAATTACTGCCGACCGATAAAACCCCCCTATCGACAGTAATTTCCTGCCGTCCGACATTGAAGTTCGGACATTCTTATTTGGAGCGAGGGTTATTGAACACCTGCATAAAATGACAGCCATGTATATGTGCAATGTGCATGGCTGTCATTTTAGTAGCTTGCCGCCTTGTGTCATTTTTTCCCTTGTGGTTTGCGCTAAAAGTGCAGCACAAGCCACCAAGGTTAAAAGGGTACGCCGACCAACATGGCGAGGTATGGCTTACCAGCATGACACGGCCATCGATCTTCTATCCGGGCGTCGCGAGCAGCCCTATTCCATCCGCACCCTCAATCCTCCCCACCAAAGTACACTGATCACTGAGCAGCGACCCCTTCCGACCGCCGTCCCTCCGCGCCCTCACCTGTGCTGCGCCCGCCTCCCCGTGCAGGAATGTCTTGTTGGGTTTGAGCGGCGCGGCCGGATCGGCTCCGGCGCCGGCCAGTCCCAGTCCAGTGAGACCCGAGTCGGTGACCAGGTGACACTCTGACAGTCGCAGCACCTCCAGGCCGGGCAGGTGGCGGCAGATGGCCTGAGGACACAGCAGAGGGCAGATCGGACACAGGGGTCACAAGGGTCACAGGTTATGTTGTTACATAACCGTCAGATGGTTACAGGGACAGTAGAAATTACAATAAAGTAAAAGTTGTTCAAAATAGGATTTTTGATGACACAGACTTTCACCGTTGAAATATAAGGCTGTACAAAAAAGGTATCTATAATCGACAAGCTCAGAAGTAAACTAAGAGAAAAATTGCTTGTCCGTAACCATGAGGCGAGCAAGGCATACGTTCACGCAGTCCTGTGCCATTAACATGCCATTAACATAACCTATGCCATTAACATAGATAGGCTAAGTGCCCCCTGCACTGGTGACACGCAAATCGCCCAGTCGGTGCAGACTGCAGTTAGCGCGGCGCCTCACCTGCAGACTGGAGTCGGTCACGCCCGTCAGACAGCGTGACAGATCGAGCTCCCGCAGCGCCGACAGCCGGTCAGCCAGTCGGATCACACAGTCGGCCGTCAGTTTGAGCGCGCGCAGCCGCAGCCGGCGCAGCTGAGAGCCGTCGGCTGGCAGCGCTGCCGCCGCCGCGTCCGCCGGCAGCCGCTCGTTCTCGCTGAGGTCGAGTTCGTGCAGGGCGGCGCCGGCCAGCGGCTCCAGTGCGGCGGCCGGCAGACGGTCACAGCGGCGCAGCGCCAGAAGCCGGAGCCGCGGCAGCCGCGCCGCCGCCGCCGTGGTGGCCGCGTCGGCGCGGGTTCCGCTCAGGTCCAGCTCAGCGAGCCGCGGCTGGGCGGTCAGCAGGGCGGCCAGGCCGGCGCCGGTGGCCGCGCGGCAGCCCTCCAGCCGCAGCGTCTCCAGTCGCAGCTCGGAGACCGCCGCCAGGTCGGCCAGCGCACCGTCCTCCACATTTGTGTCGCTGAGGTCGAGTGCACGTACCGCAGCCGCGCGCTCGCGTACGAACGCCATCACACACTCAAATGTGAGCACTGAGCTGGAGACTGCGCCGGCGCCGCCGCCTGGATAAAACTTGCGGTAGATGCCCGGGTGGAAGCCGATCTGACAGGAGCGCAGCGAGAGCTCCTCGAGGCCCGGCGCGAGCGCCAGAAGTCGCTGCAGGATGGCGTCAGAGAGATACCGGTTGGCCGACAGGTCGAGACGCCGCAGAGAGGGCAGGCTCAGCTGCTGGGCCGAGTCGCGCGACAGGATGTTGCCCGTCATGAAGAGAGAGTCGCAGCCGACCAGGGCCAGCTCCTCCAGCTCTTCGCAGTGGGAGAGAATCTGGGGGCAGAGAAGCACGGGTAGGGCGGGCAGTGAGACGAGAACGATGGAGGGAGATGGCCATGACAGTCGGCAGGTCTCCGGATGCGGCAGAGTTTCAACGCAGATTAATGGAGAGACACGCTCTCAATGACCACATATTCACGTGATAAGGCGAAACTGCGAAAAGAAATAAATGTCTCGCTCACTCGATCTTTCTCTTGTCTCTTTCCCTTAAAGGAAATAGTTCACTTTCACGAAATTATTTTTTTTGCAACGGATTTATGATTTTTTATGTTCAAAATAATCAGCAAAGAAAATAAAACCTTTTTATAACAAAATATTATTTTCTATATTTTGATATAGGAAGAACTTTTCAGTTTCTGTAAGGCACACGCGATCCAGTATGAAAAGAGCATGGGTCCCGAAAATTCTTCAGAAACAGAGAAATTATCGCAGCCACCGGCATTTGGGCGATCTGCTCGATCTGATAATGTTCCCCTGAATGTCCTAATTGATCAGTACGAGAATTTCTCTCGAGTTCTCGTAGATAATTTCTCTAGTTTCTGAAGAATTTTCGGGACCCATGCTCTTTTCATACTGGATGGAAATATATGCAAGGCACACATCCTCAACGCAAGACACCTTTTTCGGGACGAGAAATAGAATATCTTTGCCTAGGGTGATCGTTGGGCTGTAAAAGCTCCTGATTTATGCTCGTCTCAGCCCAAGCTACGGAACTGCTATTCCAGTTCAAAACCCATGTTAAAAAGTGAACTATTTCCTTTAACTCTTCTCTAACAACGCTCACTACCGCGGCAATCTCACACCCTCTCTCCGGCGCGTGGATCTCACCTGCACCAAGTCGCTCTCCTTGACGGTGCAGCCGAGCAGACGCAGCACGCTCAGACCGGGTCCGGCGGAGCTCCAGAGACCGGCCAGCGGGCCGCGCGCGCTCACATCGGCCTCACGCAGTACGAGCCGGGTGAACGGTGCGGCTTCCTCACTGGCCAGCAGGCCGGCGGCCCGCTCAGCACCACCGCCCTCCAGGCAGACGGTGCGCGAGTGGCGCAGCACATGGCAGCTGACGTCGTGCCACAGCCGGCACACCAGGCCGGCAGAGAGCACGTCCGAGAAGGAGAGGTGCGAGAATATCTCCACCAGCACCTGGACAGAAGGGGAGAGAAGGATCAGATGACAGACGAGTGGCAAGAAAATCTACACTAGTCAGTGGATGACAGACGAAATGGGTCAGCCTCAGAGGCAGAGGTGCCATTCAAGGTGACTGAGGTGCCTCTGACAGATCAACGATACAGTACATTGTGTTCTTTCGATTTTCAAACACGGCTTTACGAAGCGAATACAGAATATGAAGCTGACATTAGTCTATCGAGATACAACTGGAATCTTTAAATGTACCAATTCAAAAACATGTTATAACTTATATCATAGTATTATTCATTAACGGCTTCCCTCCGTCTGCGGTGAGATCAAAGGAATTTGTTTTTGTTTAAACGAAAATGACGGAAAATCACAGTGCTTGAACCTATCGCAAACGGATTGGTAATGATGCCACACTCACAGAAAATATGCCGTAACGAGTAAACGCAAATCAATTAATACTGCAAAGTGCAAACGAATCGACAGTAAAACCAACACAAATGTCCCAGCGGGACGCCACAAAACTCACCTCGTAGGGCACGATCCTGCCATCCTGGTATCCGACCGTCATCTTCACACCTGTCGCTCCGCCTACAGCTGCTCACCTCGGGTCTGGGAAAATACAGTAGAGGCTGGTAAACACCCAGCCCTGGACCCGGGACAGCTCTGTGTGCTCACTGCTGGCCGTGCGGGGCGCTGCGCGGCCAGTGGAGCCAGCAGGTGCCTGACACCGGGTCGGCTCTGTTCTCACTGACAGATCATTGGCAGAGGGGTCAGTGACCCACACAGTCGCGCAAGGCCGCCTGCAAAATGGTAATACCGCTCACAGCGATGCATATCGTATGAGCAGGTGTCCAATGAAGTCGTAGTCTGTTCTACTAGTACTACCAGACCTGGTGTTCCTCTCTGTCGGGGTACTGTACTACCGACTACGCTGGAATTTACTGCTTTGTCTGGGCAGTGAGCTAATTTGGTTTTCATTTTACTAACAGAGTTCTGCGGATAACCGCACGCCGGACCCTGGAAAAGTTTAAGCCACCGGTAAAACAACAGAAACATACCAACTGCCGAGCAGCGCCATAGATAGTAAAAGGGACTAAAATAATAATAAATAAAATGACCAAGGCTTTCAAATCTCGTCAGGATTTCACTTAATTATTTTAAGGAAATCTGGTCACATTTTACGACAAAGAGACCAAGAACTTCGAGCCATAAAACGGTACATGCATTGTCTGTTATCAACTATCATAGCAGGCACCGTTACTCTAAATCTTAGCTACTTACTCGTTCCTCCTTTCCTATAACGACTTTCGTTACTAGTTCCTAAGTTACATAGGCACGAAAGTTGCTTAGTCCACTACCCCATAACAGGAGCAAAATAGGAACTGAAATCTAAAATGGTGTACATTTCATATCTTTCTAACATGTAAACAGACACTAAATCCACCGAGACACCGAGCCACCATAGAGACTTCATCGACCAAACTGTGACATATTCAGTCCCTCTGAACACCAAAAGTATCAAAGGAACAAAGAGTGCAGGCACAAGCTAAATTGTAACAGTGAAACAAACCACCGATGTTAACCCGCGCCCGGCTGGGGGTCCTGGATTTCCACGCCCTGCTGGGGGGGGGGGTGTTTGAACACCCCCCCCCCCTTGTAACTCGGCTCCTGGGCCACGTAGCGATACGCGAAAGGCGGCGTTCGAAAGGGCGTAAAAAATAATGACGAAATCACTTCGGTCAATTTTTTGGTCAGGTCAAAGGTCAGGTCACCAGAGGTCATTGAAGGCAAAATTTCGCCGATTTCCAGGTCGAATGTCGAAAACTTCCAAGAAGCCAACGCATAACTCGGGAACCAATAGAGCTACAGCGCCGCGGAAAAGCGCATTCGATAGCCCTAATAACACCCTTTCTGAGTAATTCTCTCAGATTTGACCTAACGTCAACGGTTTTGCCTGCAGGGGGCAAAAACTGAAAAAATAGCCGATTTGTTCGGAAACAGTTTTTCTGCAATAACTTTTGACCCAAGCCTTGTACGAGCTTACTTTTACCGGCATCGTGTTCCTCTCGTCAAGACGCATCGAATGAACTATAACTTGACCTTGAAAGGTCAACTTGAAAATTTGACCTCAGGTCAAGGTCATGACCTGACCGGAAAGGGTCATGTTGCACATCAGTCGATCCGTATCGTCGAGCTGAACACATCTAAGGCGTTTTCATCGCTTTAGTATGCCTCTATCAAAAGTTATTTGCGAAAAACTGTTAGATACCATTCGTGACCTAAGATGACCTCAGGGCATAAACAAGGGTCACGGACACCATTTTCATGTTCAGTGTGTCTAAACCACTTGTAATTCGGTGTTTGGGAGTGTTTATAATGTCTTTCATCCAAAAGAGGCGCATTTCAATTTTCTCCCATTGACTTATAATGTGGAGGTCGCAAAATTGACCTGACCTTAGGTCATCGATATCAAAATTCTGAGATATACATGTTGTACATGCTATTGCTCTTAGCAATCGCTGAAAGTTTCAAAACGATCGGTCACTCGGTGTAGCTATGACAGACATTGAAACTTTTTATGAGGTGAGGTCACTTCAAGTGACCTGGTGACCTGACCTTGAATGACCTTGGTCTGAAATTTTCACAACATGTGTAGAATTGATGTATGATAAGGTGTACCAAAAACGGCGGCGTTTGAGATATTCGCGAAAGACCACAAGGGGGGTGTTCAAACACCCCCCCCCCCCCCCCCCAGCAGGGCGCGGGTTAATGTGATTTGTAACATATTGTAAAACGTAATGAGTCCGTTCATCCATTCCTGAAAATTGCAACGGTGTTTCAGAATGAAGGAACAAAGGAACAGACCATGCCTAGCTATGTCAGTTACTATCTATGGGTGTGCTTTCTAGTTTCTTTATCCCCCCCCCCCCCCCCCAACACACACACACACTCAGGTTGGGGTCTTATCCTGCACCACAACACATGGTAGTGGACGGTGGTGGGTGGAGGGCGAGCAAAAGTTGCTACATCCATTATCAAGAAAACTTAACAACATGATGCAAAGTATACTTGATGGCACTTATTGAAAATACCTATGCAAATGTAAAGATATCACACATCACTCAGGTCAATCCTGATGTCTCTGAAGTTTCCCCTGACTGATGGCAGATATTGTTTGAGGAAAAAATGATGCCTAAATGGTCATTGGTCATTGCTGGTGATCTTAAGTTCACATCTTGAAATCCATATCAAGGAGCCAAACCCTTACCAAATAGGCAAACATTCCAGTATTAGGTTCGGCATAGACATACAATGCTTGCCAAAACTTTGGGAAGATACACAACAAAAACCCAGGTTGCTAAAGGCTAAGCTAAGCATGACAATCTTAACAAGATCCTAACAAGATTAGGATCTTGTCAGAGGGCTGTTCACAGGCCATGTGTGTGGTCGGATCGTACACAGCCTCCAAACTCCGCCCACTGCATCCCTACATCAGCCTTCCGCACTCAGCCGTGACGTCAGAAACGCCTACCCATCCCCTACCCCCACGCCTGCTGCACACACCGCACTCAGCAGTTTGCAGTACCCATGAACACCCCTCCAGGCTGAGGGCTGAGGCACTCAGCCAATACTGATACATGGTGCGGTGTGATTTTTTTGTGGTACCTATTGCCATTGGTAAGGTGCATAGGTACTGATGCTTTGCGTAGAGCAGTGTTGTGTGGACCTTTGACCTGAAAGCATGCAGAACTGCTAGGCCAACACATTTTTGTCTTATCAAATAATGTTCAGGATACAATATGAATAGGGTTACCAGTCAGTCAGGGAATAATGGGGTCAGAGTAGATCAAGGTAGGTAACGCGACTGCCACTTCAATTGATTCCTGTAATATAGACATAATTTGATAGAAAACCTTCTCTTTGATTCATTAATTCATTGATATATGGATCTGGATTAATAGATTAATAAATTACATTTTTCCACACCTAGTTGAACTGGAGAGTGGAGCACAAGCAGAGCGGAAATTGAAATGAACTCTGCAATATTTGCATTGGCATGTTCATGAAAACATAACACTTACCATTTTATTGGTGTTTATACAACATAATTTCCCATTGGCATTTTCACAGACCTCTGCGTACTGTGCATTGCAATCAAAATCCAAGTCAAAATAGTAAAATTTAAATTGTAATACACTGTACTGTAACACCATACAGAAGTTGCGTAACAATATTTTGTAACACAGCGCAAGATTTGTCCTCACCGCACATATGGCACAAGCTCGTGACTCTGCTACCAAATCGGCCAGAAAGGAAATAAAACTTTATGAGTAGAAATAACTGTATGGAAAAATTCCTGAAATTTTCAGTTTGCCGTGAGCTAACTTAAGATACAAAGAGTATTGTGCAGCCACAGGCCAACACTTATTAGTAAAGTTAACCCGCGCCCTCTGATAGGGTCTGCCGAGCAACGCGGTCTGATGGGGGGGACATTTTGCCCCCCCCCCCCTAAGATCTCGAGAACCACGCAACATAGCGACAAGCGGTAAACGGCATTGGTCCAACGGGGATCTACCTTGTGACCCAATCCTCGGTCAAACCGATGACGTCACAGGTCAGGTCAAAGGTCGAATTTTCACCGTTTACAGGCATTTCAAGAAATGCGTTGTGAAATCGGGTAAAATGCATTTCATTGAAAATAATCGATGGGGAAATGTTCTTCAAACACATATTTTGCTATTTGAGGTCACTGATACCAGGTCAGGTCACAGAGGTCAGGTCACTGCAAGGGGTCACAATATGAAAGTGCCGTGTGATACATGTTTTATGGTCCATTTTACATGACAAATGCGATTATGTGGGTCAGGCAGACTTTTGGGCCAGCTTAGGTCACGTTTTGGTCAAGGTCAGGTCAATGTCAGGTCAAGGTCAGGTCAAATTAGGTCAAATTTCAAAGTTGACATTTTTGCATAAAATGGGTATCGATTCGATGCAGCTCGTCACGGGGAGTTCAATGCCCAGCAAACATGCCCACATGGTTCCCATATGGGGCCCACATGGGCCCCCCACCTCTTCCATATGGGTCCCACATGGGAATGGCAGTGGGTGACACGTGGGACCCATATGGGTCAGCCCACGTAGGCCCCATATGGGACCCACGCGGCGCCCACATGGGACCCATATGGGTAGCCCATCTGTAGCCCATGTCCCACGTGGGCCCATCTGGCCCATGTTCACCCCATATGGGACCCACATGGAATGCCCATCTCCAGCCCATGCATGCGTTTGGCCCATCTGGCCCATTTTTATCCCATATGGGGCCCATATGGGTAGCCCATCTGTAGCCCATGTCCCACGTGGGCCCATCTGGCCCATGTTCACCCCATATGGGACCCATGTGGGCATGTTTGCTGGGTGGTGGTCTCCGTTTTGCGCCACGAGGTCTAGAATTGCTAAAAATTGAGTTCAAAAATTTGACGTCATCAATTTTTAACTGTTTTTCGCTATAACTTGGCCAAAAAAGAGGTATCGATCTAAAATTTGGTATGTATATCGAAGAGCACAGGGACTATCACATATATTCCGCTTTTTTGAAATTCGAAAAAAAAACTTTGGAAATTTTTAGTTTTTCTAAAAAATCATTTTCTATTTTTGGGGGTGAAAATCCCAAAATTTCGAAAATCCGAGATGGCAGTTTTGAAGCGCTGTCTTTTCTCTACACAACCACATAAAGAACTTTAACCCTATTCCTGGCGGGCTCCGCCGGGACAAGAAACTGGCGGGGGGGGGGCCGATTCGGCCCCCCCTGAGATCTCGAGAACGAAGCAAGATAGCGACAAACGGTAAACGGCATCGGATACGCACGGTCAAGATCTACAATTTTTACTAAGGTCATTTTCAGGTCAGGTCAAAGATGACGTCACAGGTGTCGAAAAAGTCAAAATGGCGGCGCTAGATATGGAGAGAGTTTTTCTCGAATAACTTTCGAATTAGTCAAGATAGGAACAAACTAAGGGCATCATCGTGATCCTCTCGTCAATCCGCATCGAATGATGTATATGTTGACCTCGCAAGGTCAAGGTCAAAGGTTGACCTCAGGTCACGTGACCTCGAGGTCATCATGTATATCATTCGATGCGTCTTGACGAGCTGAACACAATGAGACCATCCACGCGTCTGTATCTTGTTCCTGTACGGAGTTATTGTCCAAAAACCTTTGGTGACCTTTGATGACGTCACATGACCTCACAGCTGCCCAACAGCAAAACAGACCTCAAGGTAGTGAAGGTTGATCGTATATGAAGTCATGTATGGTATATGAGGCCATTCCGACCCGTTTTAGTGGTAAAAACAGGGAGTTGATTTTTCCCCCATTGACTTATAATGGGGAGGTCGCGAAACTGACCTGACCTTAGGTCACCGATATCAAAATTCCGAGATATACAAATTGCACATACTGGTACCCTAACTAAAGCCTGAAGAGAAGAAATTGATCGGTCAAAAACTCTAGCTCTGGCGTGATTGCAAACTTTTCTGAGGTAGGGTCACCAAACCGCCTCTGGTGACCTGACCTGAGGTCAGATCAACTCAAAATTTTCAGACATGTTGCGTAGAAGCCTTTTAGGAAAAGTCAGAAAATTTGAGCTTCCTAGCTCAACGCGTTTGGGAGAAATAACCAAAAAACCTCAGGGGGGGCTCCTGAGGCCCCCCCCCCGCCAGGAATAGGGTTAAAATTGCTTGTTAACTGTAGAATTGGTGAGCGTTTCAAGATGTCATGTTTTTTGCTCATTTTTACTCGAACATGACCTCAGTTTGACCTCAATAACTCCTGACCTGAGGTGACCTGTGACTTGAAATTTTGTGTGAAAGTGTCAAATTGATGCCCGGTAAGGTACCCAAAATTTGGCGGCGCTGCGCGCCGCCGTTTTTTTCGCTATTTAAGAAAAACCACAGGGAGGGGGGGGGGGCAAAATGGCCCCCATCAGGGCGCGGGTCTTGTATGTACATACCTACATGCATTGTACATTTGCGACCGGCGCGCGGCGGCCAGGCTTCGGCTTTATCAAACTTCAAAACGGCTTTCGATTCCCACCGCCCTCGCCCCGCCTCCCACTTATTTGTGTTCTGCAAGTCAAAATTACTGGTCATCAGTGGCGCCCATAGGCAATCTGTCCTCCCACACCCCAAGCCACCCATATGGCAATTGACACGTGCATGGGTAGGAGGTTGCACTCCGATCGTCGTATCAAGGCGAGGGAGGGTGTTTAACCCGCGCACCGACGGGGGTCTGCGCCAACTTAGTACCGACGGGGGGGGGGGGCGGATGACCGCCCCCCCTGAGATCTCAAGAACGAAGCAAGATAGCGACAAGCGGTAAACGGCATCGGATACGCACGGTCAAGATCTACAATTTTTACTAAGGTCATTTTCAGGTCAGGTCAAAGATGACGTCACAGGGGTCGAAAAAGTCAAAATGGCGGCGCTAGATATGGAGAGAGTTTTTCTCGAATAACGTTCGATTTAGTCAAGATAGGAACAAACTAAGGGCATCATCGTGATCCTCTCGTCAATCCGCATCGAATGATATATATGTTGACCTCGAAAGGTCAAGGTCAAAGGTTGACCTCAGGTCACGTGACCTCGAGGTCATCATGTATATCATTCGATGCGTCTTGACGAGCTGAACACAATGAGACCATCCACGCGTCTGTATCTTGTTCCTGTACGGAGTTATTGGCCAAAAACCTTTGGTGACCTTTGATGACGTCACATGACCTCACAGCTGCCCAACAGCAAAACAGACCTCAAGGTAGTGAAGGTTGATCGTATATGAAGTTATGTATGGTATATGGGGCCATTCCGACCCGTTTTAGTGGTAAAAACAGGGAGTTGATTTTTCCCCCATTGACTTATAATGGGGAGGTCGCGAAATTGACCTGACCTTAGGTCACCGATATCAAAATTCCGAGATATACAAATTGTAGCTACTAATGACCTAATAACATCCTGCGACTTTCAAAGGCCTCCGACATCTACTGTAGCTCTGGCACGGTGACAAAGTTGCAAAAAAGTGACTTGAGGTTGGGTCATTCAAAGTGACCTGGTGACCTGACCTTGAAAGGTAGGAGGTTCAAACTTGCACACCATGTGTAAAATTGATAAGGGAATAGTCATACCAAATTTCCGCCGCGGTTTTCCCGCTATTTGCGAAAAACCTCAGGGGGGGGCGGATATCCGCCCCCCCCCGTCGGTGCGCGGGTTAATGTTTTTACGCCCGCTCAACTCGGCTCCTGTTGGGACACGTAGACACAATACACAGTAGCGGTGGAACACCTGGGGGGGGGGGGCACTGCCAACTTTTGGTCCCATTCTTTCCATGCAACGCCCTAGGGCTAATGTTAAAATGCCAAAATCAAAGGGGGGTACGATGCCCCGGTGCCATCCCCGTTCCGCCGCCTATGACAATACAATATTGCAATAGCCGGCGTTCAAAAGAACGTAAAGCATTATGCAGAAAGTACATTAGTCGTTTTAAGGTCGGGTAAAAGGCCAAAGCCCAAATGTCAGGTCAACAGTAACACGATCAGTCTCCTCATTTCAACATTTTTAGACTTATTGGCGCTTAACTCGGGAGCTAGGAGCTAAATAGCGCCACGCGCATTCAAATCAGAAAACAAAACCGTCAAAAATATCTTTTTGTTGGAATTTTTCAGGTGATCTTTTTTTCTACACAAACCTTGTAGGTATGACAATGAGTTTGGTGACATCGTGTTTTTCTTGTCAAGGTGCATCGAAAAGAGACTTGTTTGTCGACTTTTCAATGCGACCTAAAAGGACTTGAAAAGTTGAATCCTGAGGTCAATGTCAGGACCCGACCGAAGAAAGCTCAACGTGCCTGTCAGTTGATTCGTATCTAATCCATACCGTTGAACTGAACACACTCAATGTGTCCGTTCGTCGCTCTATATGCGTGAACATGTCCGCATCGAAATTCTCAGCTTGTTGCAGCCTTGTAGGAAAACTGCTAGCCTGCACATGATCTGCAGACTTAACGACCTTGGTTGGCTTAAGGTGTTCCTAAGATAGCGTAACGAATACATTTTTTAAGTCAATACTCAATGGTATAGGTAGCCGCGTTTAGTGGGTATGACTTTCATAAAAAGGGGCCAGTTCAATTTTCTTCCATTTGAATGTTTGCCTGACCTCAAGTTTTGTATACGATATACGGCAAGGAACCATGCCAATTCGCTCAGCGCTTTTAGACCGGGAACGTTTTGGTTTTGAGGACAGCCTTCATTTTTTTGTGCGCTAAATTTTATTCCACTTCCAATTTATTTAACATTTAATGGCGTTCTTTATAAGTTACGTTGGCGTTACCTTGTAAATGAATAGACATCTATAGGTAGGTATCTGATATATCAATCGTTCACCTGATTAAATCAAAATCATTAAACGTCTTTCCTGACTTGACCTTCTCACTCCTCAGTGCTCACCGCTCAGTTCACCGCGACCTTCTCGTCAACAAACAGCCGTCCTCCCGTTCGCCGCCGCGCCGGTCCGAGATGGTGCGATGGGATACTACCCGGCGCCGTCCCACCCTCTGGGCTGATGCCTGATCCCTCCCGAGCGGTGTTGACTGTCGCAGTCACGCACCCCGCTCCGGCTCGACCCTTCACTGGTCACTCGGTGACCGCGCGGGTCCGCGGGTGGACGGGTGGGAAGGCCAGCGACCTCGGTGACGTCCACGGATCACTTCTGTGGCTCAGCTGGTGAGTAGTTTCATTGCTTTCGTCTCTCCTGATCATGTCACACAAAACAATGCGAGTGAGTTGTGAATATGTATGGCATTGATTTAAAACAGCTATTGTTTTTGTTATTGTTTTTGTTATGTAAACGGCTCTAGGGATTCGAAAGTGAAGAACAAACCCTATTTCAAAAGCCAAAAATCACTATCACTTGGATTGTTGAGTACTGGTATTTGCTGAGACGTTTTCTTCTTGGTGCTTCAGGCTGGAGAGACGCGGTGGACGTTTCACGGCAACTCAGAGGTTACACAAGGCCATGCGACCCCTCACCAGACGGAGGTCGAGCTGCGATCGGCTCAGTCTCGGCGACATCCGCCGCTCTGGAGCCCTGCTGGCCACTGTTGCAGTGTTCTGTGTGTCGGTACGGGTGTTGAGCACATATCAGCTGCCCCGCACTGAACATCAGCCATCAGGCTGTTATTCAGAACACGTTGCACGTCTACAAGAGATCTCCGAGTCTAGCGGTGTTGTCTGCACGGACAATCTGCTGGGTCACCGGCTGACTGGCCAGTCCTGCCCCGACCCCCCGATCGACGCTGTGTACACCTGGGTCAACTACTCCGACCCGAAGTTCCAGCAGCAGTTGGAGGACACGCTGAAACAGCTCGGAAGGAAACCCTGGCCGGTGGCGGTGACCCCCTACCGATTCATCGACAACGATGAGCTGCGCTTCTCGCTTCGCTCGTTGGAGCGTCACGCGCCCTGGGTGAGGCGCGTGTTCGTGGTCACGAACGGCCAGGTCCCCCACTGGCTGAGCCTGGACAACCCCCGCATCACCGTCATCACGCACGAACAGATCTTTGCCAATAAGTCTCATCTGCCGACGTTTTCCAGTCCGGCCATCGAGGCCAACATCCATCACATTCCGGGGCTCTCGGAGCGATTTCTCTACCTCAACGACGACTTCCTGATCACGCAGCCCGTGTGGCCGGAGGACTTTGTCTCGTCGAGTGGCGAGTACACCATCTACATGGACGAGCCGATCGGTAACGGCCCGCCGGGGGACCCGTTCTATCCCAGTCTGCAGAGCACAGACCGCATGCTGGAGCGGCAGTATGGCGCCGCCCAGCGCCACTACATTGCGCACGTGCCGCTGCTGATGGAGCGCCGCCTGCTGCGAGAGCTGCACCGGCTGTTCCCCGATGAGTACACCACCACATCGGCGGGCCGCGTGCGCCAGCCGACAGACATCCAGTTCCAGATGGCCTACAGCTACTTCATCATGTCCGAGCGACGCACTGTGCCCTTGGAGCAGGTCTTTGAGGAGCTGGACACCGACGGTTCGGGGGACTGGTCGGTCACTGAGGTCCGCACGGCGCTGGCGCGACTGAGACCGGTGCCGCTGCCCGCAGACGCGGTGCAGGTCTTCACCTCCACCGTGCGGGCCTGCGGCGGCCGGAACGACTCCGTCCTCAGCCGTGAACTGGTGCTCGGCTGTGCGCCGGTGACCGACGAGCTGCGCGGACGGCTGGGCACCCGACCACGCTTCCAGTACAGACTCGGCCCGCGGGAGCACTGGAGCATGACGATACTCGGTCCGGACGTGGACCGTGCGGCTCGTCACCTGGACTTGGTTCGCCGCGACCCTCCGCGCTTCTCGGCGTTCAACAATGCCTTCAGCGGGGCAGACGAGGATGTGGTGCGCCAGGTGTCCCAGCTGCTGAAGGACCTGCTGCAGGCGCTCTTCGGCAGGCCGTCTCAGTTCGAACGATACGTCTGAGGGTCTCCTGATTCGTGTCGTGTCGATATCTGACAGACAATAGAATACACACTGATTTTTCAAAAAGCGTATCTTTGAGATCCAGTAGCATAAATTAAAGTATTAACCCGCGCCCCGTAGGGCAATCGGCAGACCCTACCATCCGTAGTGTCGGGCCGTTTCGCCCCCCCCCCCCAAGATCTCGGAAAGTTTCCGGGCGATTTACGAAATTCAAACGGCGTTGGATAGCCCCAACGGGAAACTACCTTTTGACCGAATTTCCTTCACCTCAGCATAACCGATGACGTCACAGGTCAGGTCAAAGGTCGAATTTTCATTGGTTACAGGCATTTGAAGAAATGTGTTTTAAAATCGAGCAAAAAGGCATATCATTGAAAATCTTTTTTACGGAAATGTCCGTCAAACACATATTTTGCTATTTGAGGTCATTAATACGAGGTCAGATCACAGAGGTCAGGTCACTGAGGGTCACAGTACCGAAAGCGTAGTGTGATGCATGTTTTATGGTTCATTTTACATGACAAATGAGATTATGTGGGTCAGGCAGGCGCGGATCCAGGGGGGGGGGCCGCTGGGGGCCGATGCCCCTAGCCTATCGAAAAAAATGCCGCCCTCCGCCGCCGAAGGCGGCGGAGGGCGGCATTTTTTGATAAGCGTTCGAGTGCACTTTACGGAGATGAGCAAAGTTCATTTCATAATAATCCCTGGTAGCAACTCTCTGAATTGATATTAATCCCTCAGGGTATGTTACTTCTCTCCCTGAAGTCAGAGTGCCGCCCCCTTAAGACGATTCGTACCGCCCTTTACCATCACATTGATGAGTGATTGTATTGATGAGTGATTGAGTGCGGTACAGAGTGCCGCCCTCTGTACTCGTAGTGCCGCCCTCTTGACCGCCCTCTGAAGTCATAGCTTGCATTTTGAAGTAGTACTTGATATAATGTGAGTTCTTTATTCCGCGTCTGCGATTGCGCGCCCACTTGGCGCACATCCAACCAGAACACATCCCCGCCCTGCGCGGGCCGGCGGCCGACTGCCGCACAACCGGCGACCGGTTTCCACCTGGCGGTCGCTAACTGAACTACGCGTAGCCAGGCTCACGATATAACACCCTGCCCCCCTGGATTTGAGTTCGAACATCGAACTATCAAACATAACTTACTCAACCTGCGAGCCACCACAAACTAGTCAAATCCAGTCCGGTCACTTACAGCGTCAACACTGCCGCCTATTTTAGTGCGATCACTGACATCGCTCACATCCGTGCGATACGAACATAACTACAAATTCACTGACTTTAGAGTCGCGCACGTCTGCCCTTACACTGCTTATCAGTCTGTACTTCCAAACGATAATAACTAATCAATCATCACCCTTCTCGGCGGTACAAATTGACCCACACTTTCCCTGGCCAATCACATCTGTTATCCACCTTATCGGTGGCACCTATTGACACACGGAATCACATATTCTTCCACTCGATCCTTTCGCCCGATCACATCTCCGTAAAATCACGTATTTTCCAACCCGATCACATCTCAGTTATCCACCTCCTCGGTGGCTGAGAGTGACGCACGGACAACCGCCGCCGCACCTCTGCCGGCGGTCCTTTACAATCGCCGCCGCGCGCGCCATGTCCTGTCCCACCGGCGCCGCTCACCACTCCCGGCGAAGCGTTAGGCTTGCTACCGCGCGCGCCGCCGGTCCCACCAGCACCGCTCACCGCTGCCGGCGGTCCGTCAGTAGCGCCACCGCGCGCGCGACCTGTTCCTTCGGCCTCGCTCACCGTCTCTCCACCGCTCGCACGAGGGCGACCAGCCCGATACCGGTCCGCTGCGTCGCCGCGCACGGTGGCACTGCTCGCAACCGCTCCGCCGCCCGTACGAGTACGGTCGTTCCGATGCCAGTCCGCTGTGCCGCCGCTGCACTCGGTGACTGTCTGACTGCTCCCGAGGACTGTCACCGCTCGGCTGTCTTCTCCGTCGCCTCCGCTGGCGCCGGCACCGACCCCGCCGAGCGCCACCGGTACAGCCGTCCTAGCGCCTTCGCTAGAGACCCCGCCGGCACCGCCGGGCGACACCCGCACGGCCGTCCTCGCACCACCGCTGGCGCCAGCACCGGCCTCGCCGAGCGCCGCCGGCACGACCGTCCCAGCGGTCGCCTCCCGCTGATTCCGGACCTGCTCCGTCGGATCAGTCCGATCTGAGCCGCTGCAGCCTCCGCTCCCGGCGCCGCCGCAGTCCCGACGGACCCGGCTCCTAGCGCCGCCACCGTCCCGACGGATCCGGCTCCCGGCGCCGCCGCAGTCCCGACGGACCCGGCTCCCAGCGCCGCCGCGGTCCCGACGGACTGGTCTCCCGGCGCCGATGGCGTCCCGCCGGCCTGACCTTCCGGCGCAGCTGGCGTCCCGCCGGCCTGACCTCCCGGCGCCGCTGGCGTCCCGCCGGCCTGACCTCCCGGCGCCGCTGGCGTCCCGCCGGCCTGACCTCCCGGCGCCGCTGGCGTCCCGCCGGCCTGACCTCCCGGCGCCGCTGGCGTCCCGCCGGCCTGACCTCCCGGCGCCGCTGGCGTCCCGCCGCCTACCAGCGCGCCGGCGCCCCCCAGCGTCCCAGCGCTCGCCAGCGACCCGGTACCCGCAGACTGCCGTGTCCCGGCGTCCGCTGTTCCCTCCAGCGTTCCGGCGCTCGCCAGCGACCCGGCGTCCGCCTCCTCCGTAGTTGTCACGGCGCCCGCGCCCAGCCGCATCCCGGCGCCCACAGACTTCATCGGTCCGGAGCCTGCCGGCGCCCCGGCGCCCGCCTGCCTCCGGGCTCCGGCGCCCGCCCTCATCACCGGCGTCCTGGCGCCCGCTGCTCACTCCGCTGGCGTCCAGGCGCCCACCGGCTCCATCGTTCTCCACTTGCGGCAGCAGCGCACACGGTACGGGTCGCGGTGGTAGCCGCCGCGGCACCGCGTCCGGCTTTAGGGTCAGGTGCGCGCGCTGCTCCATCGTGCCGAGGCCCCCTGCAAACACTGCTGCGTGCGCCGCCGTCACTGAGCTCAGCGTCCGCCCGCCGCTCACTTTGCTGGCCTCGCTGACCTGCAGCAGCGACCGCCAGTCTAGACGTATTTCACGCAGCCAGTCGCGCCCCAGCAGCGGGTGGTGTCGGAGCTGACTGCTGACAACCACGTTCAGCCGCTTCCGCTGGCCGCCATACTCCGCCTGCACGGTCGCATCGCCGCAGACCGGCACCGGCTGACCCGTGAACGAGCGTAGCTGCATCTTGGACGGTCTCAGCTTCAGTCCCGGGATGCTGCCGTCCGCCACGATCGACACTGGTGACCCGGTGTCAACCAGCATCTCAGTCTCCCGGCCGTTGACAGACAGAGTTACCAGTGGCAGCCGGTCCTGGCTCGTCAGCTGCGCCACCGTCATCACGACATCCTCCTCCACGGACGCCACCTGTCCGATTCCTGGACAGTCCCGCTTCAGGTGTCCAGTTCTGCCACATTTGAAGCACCTCCTCTTCTCGAGCGGTCCGCCGCGTCTGCTGTCTCGCCGACCGCCGTCTGCCGGGCCGGGCGGGCGAGACACTCCGCGCTGCTGCACCGCTCCTGCCGCCGGAGGGTGCGCCCTCTCCGGCGCCGAGTCCGCCCTGGCCGTCGGACAGTCCCGCCGCCAGTGTCCCCGGCCTCCGCAGCCGAAGCACGAGCCCGGTCCCGGGCGCTCGGCCGGCCTGGCCGTCTCCGCCCGCCGCTGGCGTCTCACCACCTGGACTGCCTCCCCGTCCGTCGCAGCCGGCACCGGCGCCCCTGACAACCGAGTCGTCAGGTCCATGACGTCCCGGTGGGCGCGTGCCGTCCGCCGGACATCCTCCAGGTTGAGTTCGTCGCCCTTCAGTGCCGCTTCCCTCACCAGCTTCCGCTGCAGCTCGCCTCGGCTGCCCAGGACGCAGCGGTCTCGCAGCTCCCGGTTCACCTGCGCCGGCTCGTAGCCGCAGCGCAGGATTTGGGTCCGTAGCCTGGCCAGGAACTCCTCCAGGCCTTCCTCTGGCTCCATTGTCATTCCTTGGAATTTCCCTCGTTCAGCCACGACGTTATTCCTTGGCACCAGGTACCGTACCAACTTCCTTTTTAGCCGGGTGAACTCGTCTTCCTCCGGTCCTTCTGCCTCCTCTTCCGGCAGGGAGTCGCTGACATCGGCTATGTCAGGCCCCACCAGGTGTAGCAGCACGGCGCACCGTCTGGTAGGCCCTTGGATGTCCATGGCGACCATGTAGCGCTCCAACGCTCGCAGCCATTTCTCGAAGTCCGTGCCTGCCCGGTACGGCCCCGCAGACACCAGCTGCATGCCCGTTGGGTCCATCACGCTGCCGTGCTCTCACCAGCGCGTCGTTCCTCCGGCCGGCCCGCCGCCGCTCCACCGGTCGGCCCGCCGCCGCTCCACCGGTCGGCCCGCCGCCGCTCCACCGGTCGGCCCGCCGCCGCTCCACCGGTCGGCCCGCCGCCGCTCCACCGGTCGGCCCGCCGCCGCTCCACCGGTCGGCCCGCCGCCGCTCCACCGGTCGGCCCGCCGCCGCTCCACCGGTCGGCCCGCCGCCGCTCCACCGTCGGCTCGCTCCGGGCGTCACCGCTCACACCGGCTGGTCACCGCACAAGCCGGCCGGTCACCGCACACGCCGGTCGGCCACCGCTCACGCCGACCGTCACCGCTCACCGCGCCGCCCTGCGCCCGTCTTGGCGCTGCCGGCTGCGGTTTCCCGCGCTTTACTCGACGGGGGCGTCACGTGGTAGTGACGTCACACGCACGTCACCGCGCGCGCATGCGCACTCGTCCCGAACCGCCCGGCCGCGCGCCAGCTTCCCGCCGAAATTATCCGCTTGGGGACCAGGCACCTCAAACCGCATTGAGGCCCTCCCCGCCGCACCAATCGGCCAATCACACGCGCTGCCACAGCTGCGCGTCACCCCCGGCCGACCAATCAGCGTGCAGCACGCCGACGCATGCGCCACGCACACCACACTGCCGAGGCATCATGGCCGCCACAAATGGCGATCACATGGAAATCCTGCCACGACCACGGCCGCCGCGCGACAGGCAGACTACCAGCAGCAGCGCGAAAATAAAAATACTAAGCAATACTAAGCACTAAGCATTCGTACTAAGCAACGTTTGCGCCCTCACCGTCCGTGGCCTGTCCGCCCTCGCGGACCACCGCGCACTGATCACCGGTCCGTTTCGCCATCACTCGCAATCACAGCTCCAAGGCTTCACCTTGATCTGATCCTCGTCGCCAATTTGATATAATGTGAGTTCTTTATTCCGCGTCTGCGATTGCGCGCCCACTTGGCGCACATCCAACCAGAACACATCCCCGCCCTGCGCGGGCCGGCGGCCGACTGCCGCACAACCGGCGACCGGTTTCCACCTGGCGGTCGCTAACTGAACTACGCGTAGCCAGGCTCACGATATAACAGTACTGCTGCTCTCTAAAAGTAGTGTCACTCTCTGAGATGGTAGTAGGTATCCCTCTGAATTCCTAAAGCCGCCCTCTGAAGTCATAGTGCCGCCCTTCGCAGTCATAGTGAAGCTCCTGGAAGTCACAGCGTCGCCCTCTTAGAGTTTTATATCATCATAACATCTCTAGAGTCATATTGCTGCCCTCTAAAGACACAGCAGGGTCTCGGCTAGCATGTTAATGGAAGGGGAGGTTAGGTATCTTGGTGGCAATTGCCCCCGCAGGTTTGGCCGGTAAGTGGTAACCTGCTATACCCAAGCCCGGGTGCGGTTCTTAGCCAACTTCGCTAATTTTTCCCCTCTTATCCGGGCGCATAGCTCGTGAGCCGTAAGTGTTACAGCGTCACGGAAGAGTGCATTTGATAGAGCCTTGGAAGCTCCCGCTGCTTAGTCCTTAGATTCGAGCTCAGGGTGGGTGTCAAGGTCACCTGAAGGTCAGGTCAGGTCATTGACCTTTGGTGACCTCGGGTGACCTCGGTTCACTTTTTCGAGTTTTACATGTTTCTAGGCTAGTTTTTGGAGCTGAATTCGAAGTTAGCAGCCATTTGAACATTTACGAAGTAGTTTTGGTGCCTTCGTAACATGTTACGAAGCTGTCAGAGGCGGTTGACACGTATTACGAATACTCGTCACAACCCCTACCGGTTGACCTGACCTGACCTGACCCGACCTGGTCTAAAAACATCATCTCTGATCAAAACTAACACGATATTCGTGATCAGCACCCCGGAAAACCACATAGCAGCCACACGTTACGACTTTCTAACAGGTCCCGATTTTCCCGGTTTTCGGGTCATTGACCTGACCTGGAAGGTCACCCGATGACCTAGGACCTTAAAATTGGGTATCATCGGCTTCCTCTCGTGACGGGCAACACGCTCGTTTTTTCCGCGAAGCTCTAGCTCGATCAGGGGCCAAACGCGAGGGGGGGGGTCGTACCCCCCCCCCTTGTGCTGTCGAAGGACTCAAAATGGCCTGTGCCGGCGAGGGTTAAGGTAATTGATCTGACCTCAGAGGTGACCAGTTGACCTGAGACCTTAACTTTGAATACCAATCGCTGCGTCTCGTGACGGCCGTCAAGGTCGTTTTTTCCGCTGGACTGGAACAGACCCTATGTATGAATGCCACCCCCCGTAGGCGAAAAATGTGCCGCCCCTGTGCTTGACTGCCCCTACCCTATCGAAATCCTAGATCCGCCCCTGGGGTCAGGCAGCCTTTAGGGCCAGTTAAGGCTTTATTCTGGTGAAGGTCAGGTGAAGGTCAGGTCAAATAAGGTAAAATTTCAAACCTGATATTTTTGTATAAAATGGGTACCGATTTGATGCAGCTCGTCACCGGGAGTCTACTGGTGATCTTTGTTTTGCGCTACGTGGTCTAAATTGCTAAAAACTGAGTTTGAAAATTTGACGTCATCAATTTTGAAGTTTTTCGCAATAACTTGGCCAAAAAAGGCATCGATCTCAAATTCGGTATGTAGATAGAGAAACATCTGCACATCCCAGAAGGCAGAAGCTGGCTTACCGCAACTCTCTTCTTAGCTCACTACCTAGTTAATGTCCGAGTGACTGAAAAAAAAAACAGGAGTGAGATCCTGTGCACGATGACCAATCCAATACATTATCAAAAAGTCATAGCAAACACTCATTGCATATTCAACTATACAAAAAAAAAAAACAATGGCAAACAGTGTCGTTCGTACCTACACACATTTAAATACACCACAGACAAAGACCTTGATGTAAAAATGATAATGCATCGGACAGGTCTTCGAACCCCAACGGCAGATCAACAGCCAGAATGTCTCACATCACTAGTCCTTCGGTCAGCTCGTCTGAGCCCCGACAGAGGACGGGTCGCGCCCGTCGCCCTCTCCCTCATTCAGTGCGACCACTGACCAGCCCGCGCCGCCCGACTCTTCCCGTACCGCTGCCTGCACCGACTCCTCGGCGGCAGTGCTGCCAGATTTGGAGGATTTCCGCAAATCTGGAGGATTTTGAACTCTATTTGCGGACAAATTTCGCTTTTGGAGGATTTTTGATTCTGGAGGAAAATCTGGAGGATTTGTCGCCCGATTATTATATTCAATTTCATGGAAAAATATAACACATTCAAGACTAAAAAGGCATTTTCCTGCCCAGCGTCACCCTACCCGTTAGGATATATCACGTCCTTTATCACCGTGAGACTGCAGAATGTCTCAGTCTGTAGCTATATTTACGAGGGTACCAAACTACTGGCGGATCTAAGGGGGACATTTGGGGCAAATGCCCCCGGCCCCCCTGCAGCGCCTGAAATCGACGAAAATTTTCGTTTTTTTAAGATAAAACGAAAACTCAACAACTTTTATAAGAAAAGTATCTTTTAAACTGCACAGCAGTGCGAAAAGATTCGAAATCCGATGGGTTTTTAGTATTTGGTGAAACTTTTTTGGGGGTATAGCCCCCCGCAGCGTCCAAGACCGCCTTTCTATATCTACCAATAGGATTTGGAGGAATCTGGAGGATTTTTGTAACTGATATAGAGGATTACAGCCTTCCCCATCTGGCAGCACTGCTCGGCGGCAGTGACCACCGCCTCCCCGGCAGTGACCCCAGCCACTTCGGAGCTACGTTCTTCGGGAAAATTTGCACCGGGAAAATCATGCATAAATGATTAGGTACAAATATGTTTTTAGGTAGGATATGTATCCCAAATTGAACTAAAAGTTACAAAGTAATCAACTGAACGGCATTGATATTTATAACAAAGTGCGACTACCTAAATAAGTCGAAGCATAATCTTCTCTACAAATGTCGATATGCATAGGAGTAAATGACGTAACATTGCATGATTCATCCCCTAGCGTAGCATTCACGTCCAAACGTGTCACACCTGTTGTTCGTCAAGCCAGGCTTTACGGCCGACTTCCCGAAGCAGCCAGTCTCGGGGAAAGAACGTGATAAGCGCCGACGCCAACAGGCATCCGCCGCAGAATTGCGAGACTGACGTCAGCCCCTTGTTCCCCTACTTTCCGAGATTCGGAGACGAGAAACACGGCGGGATTACCCCGTTCCTGGGTACTCGGTGACGTTAGGCACCCTGGGGCCCCCTGCCGACAGTTGCAGGTAGCCGGCAACCGGTTCCCACCTGTGGTATAAAACTAGACCGAAGACACGAGGCAGGAGCACCTCAGTTGTCCAGCGCCGCTCGAGGGCGTCGGTGACGGACCAGATACAGCCATGGCCTCTCTATACCTTGCTGTGGGGATCGCCCTGCTGTCCGCTGTCAGCGCGCAGTTACGATTTACCGCAGTGAAGCCGTTCCCGGGCCATGGCGGTCGGACAGGCCGGCAGCTGAGCCCGAGCTGCGGCAGGGTGCAGTCCGGGGGTCAAGATGATGTGGTGGGCGGCGAGCCGGTGCTGGACGGCGACTGGCCGTGGATGGTGTTGCTGGGGGAGCGGCTGGGCGGCCGGCGCGTCTGGACGTGCGGCGGCACGCTGCTGTCGGCGCGCACCGTGCTGACGGCGGCGCACTGCGTGTCCGGCCGGCAGCCGGCGGCGCTCACAGCGCGGCTCGGTGAGTTCGACACCTCCCGCGACGACGACGGGCCGCACGTGGACGCCGCCGTGGCCACCATCACCGTGCACCCGGGATACCGCGGCGCGGCGCGGCACGACGACATCGCGCTGCTGCGGCTCAGCCGGCCGGTGGCGCTCGGCGCCCGCGTCCAGCCGGCCTGCCTGCCGCCGGCCGGCGCCGACCACACGGGACGGACGGCGCGCGTGGCCGGCTGGGGACTGACAGAGTTTAACGGCCAGTCGGCCGCCGTGCTGCAGGAGGCCGCGCTCACCGTGACGGACATCAACCGGTGCGAACAGACCTACCGGACGCAGCTGAACTTCTTCACGAGGAGGTACCCGGGCGGGTTCGGCGGCACCAAGCTGTGCGCCGCGGGCGACGAGAAGGCCTCGTGCGAGGGCGACTCAGGCGGCCCGCTGACCACACCCGGCGCCGACGGACGCCAGCAGGTGATCGGCGTCGTATCCACGGGCTTCGGCTGCGGTGTGGCCGGGTTCCCCGGAATCTACACCAAAGTCTCCCAGTACATATCGTGGATCATGCAGAATGCCGTCTAGCAGTAGCGGCGGAGCGCCTTCAATTAACGGGGGGGGGGGGGAACTGCCGACTTTTAGTTCCATTGTAATGTTAAAATGGCAAAATCAAGGGGGACACGGTGCCCCGGTGCCCCCCCCCCCCGTTCCGCCGCCTATGCCGTCTAGATGTATCAGGTTTATCAGAAGCCGCTGGAGCCGCGTGCCGCTTTTCTTCCATAATAAATATTTTGAAGAAATGCCGGGCAAAATGTTATCAGAAGCAGTGGCGTATAGCTGTATGCAGGGGAAGGCCAGGGGGGCGAGGCCATGTGCGGCCTTCCCTTTTGGCTTCAGACACACAGGCCGCCGGCCGGCCATTTAGGATAGTTGAGTGTCTCCAGAGAAACGACTTTCAGAACTTTATCTGAAGAAGGTGCTGGCCCAAGCATTTATAAAGTCAAACCACCTCCAAAGTCCAAACTATCTAAAAGCTGAGCTCCTCCGACTTTTTTTTGGGCCGAGGGGGCTCATAATGTATTCAATCCCCCCTCTCTCCCCCAGCCCGAGGCATCCAAATTTGCAAACATCTAACTTTTCTCGCAATGAAAATCGTATCATGAAACTGGGGGTGAAAAATAGCAGTGAAGTGTTCACTGTTTCATGCACTGACATAGGTGCCCCACTGGGGTATGTGCTGTAACGCACCCCACTGGAGGGGGGAGGGCTATTCACAGCCCCCTCCTAACACCGAAACTACTGTGCCGATTGTCAAAACTCAAACGGTGCCTGATGACCCTGGAACAACTGTCGAGCAGAACCTAACTTTATTAGCCTCGAGGTCACCGATGACGTCGCAGGTTAGGTCAAAGTAAAAATTATCAACGGTTTGGCCTATTTTGTCCCTATTTTGTCTCTGGCCGCCGGCTAACACGTCAGCTTAGGCTCATTTTCGGTTTGCACACTCGTGAGTAGATGCGTAAGCTACCATGAGGTTACCGAACTCGTGCTTCGATTTTTTTCAGGTCAGGGCAAGGTCATCCTAGGTCACGGAAATATATATCATGCATCGGTCACGTGACACATGTTTTATGGTTCATTTAGGCCATTGATTTCGTAATAAGTGTCGTCTGTGTCATTTGAGGCCATTTTCAAATTAATATAGCTGAGGTGAGGTCACTTCCAAGCCAGCAATTTTACTCCGGGTCCAGAAGGCTTAAGTACGACTTACCTACCCGAAATTTTTAGTCTGGCTAAAGTCGGCTAGTGCTTGGGCTAAAGTCGACGTATGACGCAAAAACGCCGACTAAAGCCCATGTTATGCCGGAGCCCGGAGGTATGCCCGCTCTGTGAGCTCCGGACGGCCGTAGTTAAGCAATCTCTTAGTGTCTTGCGCTGTTTGAGGGCTGATACCCTTAACCCTCGCCGGCCGAGGGGGTGCCGCCCCCCATAGTTTTTTTTCGCGATAGCTCTGAACACGCAGGCGATAGAGAGCTGAAACTTGGCATACCTGATCTATGATTCAAGCTGGATCTTTAGACACCAACTGCATTTTTAGGTCAGGTCAGGTCACTGACCTATGACGTCATAAGTGAACCTCTGCACGGTCTTCAGATGTCGCAACTTCGCAACGCCCTCACTGCCAGAGGAGATGTCACAGGGAAATGAAACTTACAAGATCTAGTATCCATAATGAGTCTCACAACTTGTATATCTCGGATTTTTCCTAAAGGTCATATGAGGTCAGGTCATTTTCGTGACCTCACCATTATAAGTCAATGGGGAAAAATGAAAACTGCTATTCTGGCGCCGGGAACGATCTCTAACTATCTCAAGCACACAGAATCGTGATTTGATGCACTCCTTGCAAGGTTAGATGCGTTACTTTTGCATTGTTGACCTTGCGTGACGTCATTTATGACGTCATCAAGGTCATATTAGTTTTTCGTCAATAACTCTTGATAAAATTGAGCTAGCGAGTCGGGGAAGCCACCAATGGACTCAGGAAGACCTGCCGAATCGAATGATATGCGAAATGACCTCTTTCGACCAGCTTCGTGACCTGGGGGTGCTGACCTGACCTTGACCTGAGGTCAACACCCCAAGTTGACCTGACCCGAACAAGTAGTATACCTACCATTCGACGCGCTTGAGCGAGGCGAACACAATGCTGCCAAAATCGCGGCTCTGCGGCCGTTTTTGTGAAGTTATTCACCAAAAACTGAACCGTACCTTGGGGCACTTGACCTGACCTCAGAGGTCACTGGTTGACATAGGACCTTAAAATCGGGTACTAATCTCTACGTCTCGTAACGGCGCACGCGCTCGTTTTTCCGTGGCGCGCTAGCTCCACCAGGGGCGAAACGGCGAGGGGGGTCGTACCCGACCCCCCCCCCCCTCCTCGGCCGGCGCGTATGTAGAAAACCAATAGGTCCGGCGAGGGTTAACTTAAGAAAGGTCCGACTAGGGTTGCATGAGCTCTGATCTAAGCTTTGATGGCTATATGTCGCCCGCAATGGCCCCACCCCAACCTCTGAAGGCTCATTCTGGCCTCTGAAAACTCCACACCGGCAACAGAGTGAACCACGCTGGCCTCCGGGGCCCCATAATGGCCTTAGGCAACCCATGCTATGGCCGACCTCGCAAGGCCCCACACTGACTCTTGGGAGCCTTTGAGTCAGTCTGATGGCCCTATGCCGCTCCCGAACCCACGCCGAATATTGCACCCATTAGTCTGAAAATGCACAACGCACCAAACAGGAGGTACCACTCAGCATAGGTAGCTCCTAGCTGATCGATCCTCGGCAGCAGGTCGCAGCTGTCGGTCCGGCCGGATAGTTCTGCCGACTCTCAAACGGCCGATCGACAGCTGCGTCGCATCTGCAGGCGATTATCGCTCCGCTCACACCTCATTAGCCACCGACGGACAGTTAATTGACGTATAAAGTCAGCGCCGGGCCCGAGCAGCCAGCGTTTCCGTGCCGACGCCAGGATGCTCTTGACACGCGGTCTCTGGGTGCTGCTGCTGACAGCGGTGTGTTCTGGCCGCCGAATTCATCGGCCGAGCCATGGCTCACAGCAGGGTAGGTGAACGAACGTTTGGTGCACGGTGGGATTTACAAACAGCAGGTTTTGAATAAAAAATAGATAGTATGAATGGTAACATTATTCATTGCCTGGACAAAAACTGAGTTCGCGGTTCATGGCCATGCCTGAACAAGGTATATAAAGATCAATTCTTGCCGCACCCGTTAGATAATTACGAGTTACGACTGTCCCATGCCATATTCGTCGTGCCCATCATCTGACACAAGTGTGTCGCCATCTTTATTTTCGTTCTGGAGTTGACCTGCTCGCTAATCTGCCTTTAGTGCTTCTGATCGACCTGCCCGACGAGCGCGGGGTCGACTCGGCAAAGACAGTGGAGGGCCTGTCTCAGCCCGCCGCTGACGGCAGGGATAGGTCCCAGGACCACACGGCGGAGACGGCAGAGACGGAGCTAGCGGTAGAAGAAGAGGAAACAGAAGGGGCGGCGGGAAGGACGGAGGAAGGTGGAGAGGTGTCGGCAGTGGAAGAGACAGTGGAAGAAATGAAGGAAGAAACAGTTGAAGAAACGGACGAGGAAACAGTAGAGGAAGTGGATGAAGAGACAGAGGAAGTGGAGCACAAAGTGGAACAACGGCCACCCCGAATCGTCAAAAGGTGAGTCCTGAGCCCTATTTCAGCCCTGAGATTATCAAAAAAGGTCAAATTGTTACCAAAACGCTGAAATATTGGTGAGATTATGCAAGGAATTTTATTCATAGGTATTGTATAATTCGTCATTTTGTATCGTCCAAAAATAGTTATGGTAAAATGGGCAATACTGTGTCATATATCGTACTGCCATGTCATAATGTCATGTAGGATAAAATTGACAGGTTCAAAAGTCTCCAAAAATCAAGATTTGAGATGCGGATGTTCCAGGAATGCATATTGCTCGAAATGTAAAGCAAAAGTTCGGAACAGTCCTGATTATGCTAATGGCAAAGTGGACTATTGAATTTCAAAATGCTTATATGCTATAACTCATGAATTTTTTTATAGCAATGCCTTCCTTTTCCGCACTGCAATGTGACCTCGGTATTGCAGGCAATGTTACGGCTGCGCCGAGGTTGTCTGCTCATGTCCCAACTGCGACCGGAGGTAAAAGTCCATCGGGGTCGGCGCTGCATTGAAGCCATTGTGAAGTTGAGATCGCAACCTTCAGCAGCTAACGGGTGGGTCGTATGCCGTGAATACCTTTATGAAAGATAGCGTGTAATGTGTCTATAAATTGAAATGTCGAAGCCTTGTTAAGTGATACTTGCGAAGCCGCCACTACCTACCAGCAATACATGTGATAAATGAGCGTAGAAAGTTCCCGCTTACATCTCGTATGTACAGCACGATGGTGAAGAGTGACGATTAGGGGAAATGCTGCACCCTTACATGCTACACATTGCTACACATTTACATAGTTATAAATGTACTTTCAGTATGCGGTACTTGCAGAAACGGCCAATACATACCTACAGTATTTCGACTGTACCGCAAGACGCGGCTGTTCCAGGGCGCCTGTAGTCAGACTGCACCGCAAGACACTGTATAAACTGGAAGCCTGTTGTAATGCCGCACCAAAACGCGGTATTTCGTGCACGTGTGTTGTGTGGAGGGGGGAGGGGGAGATAGAAGGCAGGGCATTATTTATGCAGACCATTTTAGTGCCGTGCAATGATGAGAGACTGATTAGACTGAGTCGATTTCGACCACCAGTTGGTTGTCACAGCGGCTGATCATATGCGATTGAAACGACAGTATCCAGTGTGAGAGTCCTCCCACTTGCCAAAATGGTCACCGGTTGAGCATGTTCTTACTGAATAGACCTCACCGGCTGTCTCGGCAGGACCATTATCAGCTTCAAGCCGTATATATGACCAATAACAAGAAAAGGAAGTTCCATCACCAGCACTGACAAAGTCATGTTACGATATAGAAATTTGCCGGTGTATTGACAACTATAGCACTAGCCGGGCCGTCGGCCCCTGAGGGCATCGGGGCCGGGCGCACACGGTGGGTCAGGGGTCACCAGACACGCGAAACCGCGTGACCTCGGGCCCAGGGCGTGTGGCCCCCGAGGCTCCCCGACCCAGCGCACGGCTGGACGGGCGCACAAAATAAATAGGGAATGGTTAAACATGTCCGGTCAAAACAAAACGGTGGCAGCTTCAAATGAGGATCGCTCCCAATGGTAACACCTATTACACTGATGTTTACGGGTGACTAGAATGACTACGACGATCAAACGATGATTCTCGCCGCGACAGCAGCTATATGGGGACATCTCTCTTCAACGCAGGCTTACGGTCAAAGAAACGGTGCAGCGCAGAGACTCGGACGCACACGTAAAACGAGGCGCTGTCATAGGCTAGAAGGCAAACTTATGTCTCTGTTGGATTCAGTTATGGTGCAAACACGTATGAGTGCCAGTATTTTCCTAGTCAGCGTTGAGCCGGCGTTACAAACCGGAGAGGAACCGTCCCCGGGCAACACGCCGGCGCAGTACGCCGCAATGGTCACAGTCGCGCCGCAAACGTCACAGTCTCGCCGTTCGCGTCACACTGATGCGTCAGATTTGTCTCCGCTTCGCCGCCCTCGTCTGCCACGGGAGACGTGTTCCGACGATCGTCTCGCCGGTATCGGCGACCAAACCAAAGTCATGGCGAGATTCAGACGCCTCCCAAGAAGGGAGAACAGCGACTGTGAGCCAACAGAACACATATAACACTGTCTCACGCCGCACTCGACACGGATTTGTCCACACCAGGCCCCAGTGGCGGCCTGGCCTGGTATGATCTGGAGTCGTCACAGACGATTACACCCACTGTTGCCAGCAGTGTCCGCCCCGCGGCGCGCCGGAGCAAATCATAGGTGTGAGTATGTGTGTATATTGTATGTGTGTGTGTGTTCGACTGACAGGCAGTCGGTATCCCAGCGGCTGTCGGCAGCCAGTCGGGCCATCACAGGTGCTCGGGGAGGGGGCGGGGGTGGGTCAGAGAAGGTGCGCCGTCCGCGCTCCGCCGGGGCAGCGGGTCGCCCCCGTCAAACATCGACGGCGTACCGGGCCGCGGCGCCTCGCCACCGTAAGTCGCAACTTCCCCAACACACACGGACACTGTCAGAGTACAAATGGCGGCCGGCCGCCGCCGGACCGTGCGACCGTCACACCTCGGTGAGATATTTGAGCGGACAGGCGCCCTGGCGGTTCTCGCCGTCGCGAATCATTATCATCCCGTCCACCTCCTCGCCAATCTGTATGACGATCTGCCGGCACAAAGACAAATACCGTGAGTGTCACGCCCGTGTGAGTGGTCAAACACACAAAATAGCCCAGTTAACAGTAAACAAACACATCAAAGCACTAACTGAATTCGATGAGCTCGATGATGCTGAGCGGTTGGGGTGGGAGAGGAAGGGGGAGCGGCACGCACCTGGTCTCGCAGCAGCCTCATGCCGTCCTGTCCGTCGGTGACCTGCAGATTGTGGGTGACCTGGAGCGGCCGCTCCCCCGCCTGCAGCTTCGTGATGTACTTGGACGGAAAGAAGCCCACCTTGCCCAGACACTTGCCCTTCCACCAGTCCGGATCAGAGGTATCCATCACAGTCAGCTTGTAGCCAGCTCTGACAACACAAACATAGAGACACGCATCAGAAGGCCGGCCTAGACCAGACGATCTATACGTCAGATACGTTACGTTCTATATATTCTATATATAGGTACGTTCTTTCTATATCCATATGCGTTCTTTACGTCAGAGATAGATTGGAGGTCAGGATGAGGTATCGATGACTGGCAGACAGCCATCGCCGGTCAGCTGTATATAGTACAGCAGAAGTACCGGCCGTCTGTCCTTTGCCATTAGTGAGCCGGGCTGGCGCTGTTCGCTCTACGGCAAGTCTGAGTGGCGTCTGACGTCTGACCGAAGCGGGCAGTCAGCCGCGGAACACTGCTAGGGAAGAGGAACCGTACACTCATTCCAGACAGGCGCGAAGGTCATGGGAAGGTCAGGAAAGGTCACAGGCCGCTGAGTGAGGGCCTACGAGCGACGAGAAGTGGAGAAACAGCGCGCAGGGTCGGCCAGGAAAATGTGGGCCGCCGAAGGATGAGGACTCGAGGCACCATTGCAAACGAGAATATGAAAATTCCAACGAGTTTCAACGGCAGGCTCATTACAATAAACGTTTTGAGTGTCATTTTCTTAAAAGTCATAAAATGCCACCATAAAAACGATTCGGACGCTAATTTGAGGAATATTGTAAGCAGCGTTTTACCGGTAACCCCGTATGATTGGCCTGGCCGTAACAGCAATGAAAACAAGGCATGGAAACTGTTTGTATGCAATAACAAACACATTTCCCATATCTTGCGTCTGTGTGATTTCCCGGCACTTGTGCAGGTCTGGTATATAGTCATTTCCGAGCACTCACTTGAGATCCAGTTCGTCCTGATGTCTCGAGGCGAAGTTATACAGCACCACGTACAGACTGGTGGGTAGCAGGCGGTGCGGCTTTTGCTGCGGAACAGACAGTCACTGGTCACTGACAGAAGTTCAAATAAAGCACTGACTAGCACACTGCAGCTGGCTTCCGCTCTGCCTCATAGAGTCTCCCAACATCCGTTTGACCGTGCTGTAATTTACGCCACCTGACGGTAGAAACTATTTACTGCGAATGACCTGGATTGCTTGCGAGCCAATCGTTCCTGGGCAGTTTCTCAGCGGTTTCCATTTAGTTTAATGGACACTTTACACCAACATATGGTCGAAAACGGCACTGTCCCTTTGTGGCGAATGGGGTAGAGAACTGTCTGTGGCTCGCGATAAAGTTGTGCAATCCAAGTCCGGGCCACTAATCCGGCCAAACGGGGCACACTTGCGCAATAGCACAACAAGAGGTGGAGTCGTTGGATCAGTATGTCGCTACACCTCTGCTCATGCACGGACAGTACGAGTAGCAAAGCATTATGTCTTACGAGCATCTCACCATTACAGCCGATATCAATAGATGGGAAAGAAATTGATCATTAACATGGCACAAATGTATTATTTTAGCAATTGAAAAGACCGAAATCGGTCCTTTCAATTGCTAAAATAATATTTTTGGGCCATGTTAATGATCAATTTCTTTCCCATCTTACTTACAGTAACCATGGCAAAAAACACCATCCATTACAGCCGAGATCAATAGAGACCGACTGACCGGTGAGGGGTGGACGATAAAAGCTAACACACCGGCGCACTATGGTTGGAAACGGCCTCACGGATGGCCGGGGGTCAACGCGAAAAAATGTTTTGCCCATAACTTGTTAATGCGTAGACCGACTGCGATGAAACTTTGCATAGGTATACCAGTGTCTTTCGTGCATCATACAGTAACACAGAAATGACGAGGTCACGTCACGTCACGCGTGTGTGACGTCATCATTGCAAGTATGTTATAAGTCGCCTATGTCTTTCGTTATGTTATCGATATCGCGAGGCATTTTGAACATGTTTTGAATACTGCTATTACTGAATGGATATTGTTGTTATGCTTTAGGGCGAGAAATATCAACGTAGTGACGCACAGTGTCTTACTATTGGTCATAAAGGGTCAAAAATTTGGAGAAAGATTATTTATAATTTTTTTTTTAGATTGGGCAAAAAAGTAAGAAATAAATGACGATCAAATGACAAAACATGCGTCAGATTAACCCGGCAGTTGCTGGGGTATTTCCCCATCCGCCGTTTGCCGGGGGGGGGGGGGCGTTCAACGCCCCCAGCCGATAACTCGCGAACAAATAGGCGCATCGAAACGCACGAGGCGCGGCAAACGAAAGAAGAACGCGACGAGACGATTCACATGAATACTTTAAAGTTGAATTTCGAGGTCACAGGTCGGGTCAAGTCAGGTCAAACACTTGAAATCGGGCTTTCAGTAGCATGGACTTTAGAACCTCGCAATCGGTGCCTCGCGTTTCGCGTTTCGATTATATCGTCATCAGTTGGTCCTAAATAAATTCAGTCATCAGTTGGTCCTAAACAATCTGTCACAACTGTCACAACTGTCACAACCCTTCATATAAGTGCTAAAAGAGTGTCAGATCAATGTAGGGGTCAGTCAAACATAGGCCACTGGCCATGGTCAAAGTCAGGTCAATCAGGTAAGCACATAACCCCGAAAATTAAAACTGGTACCTATTCGCAGCCCATGCATGACACATGTTTTATGGGTACTTTTGGGCGTAGATCACGATGGTGACATTCATTTTATCATACGAGTACGTGGCTGGTTGAAAAAAGATCAATTTCAGAAATGCATGCATCATGGTCGTGAAGTAGTCACGAGAAATTGCCAACATTCAGTTCAAGATTTTGGGAAATGTAGAACGATGATCAAAAACCATAGATAGCCCTTTGATTTGCCATGGTATTAGCAGTGTAATGGCGTTTACAGCATGTCTGTATGTCTGCTCTGTCGGTGGATATCCATATCCATACTCCAGGATATCCATACACGTTTGCACGATATCCATACTCCAGGTGCAGCGGCGAGCAGTTACTTCTTACGAGGGGTGCGGAGTCGAAGTCAGAGTCGGAGTCAGAGTCGGAGTCGGAGTCAGAGTCGCCCAGAGTCGTGGCAACGAGCCAGGAGTCGGAGTCGGAGTCGGGGTCGGTCAGGAGCCCGCAGTGGAAGTCGGAGTCGGTCCGAATCGGAACAGCTCCATCACGACTCCGAAACACTGGCAGGGGTCCGGAGTCGGAGACAGAGTCGGCCGGAGTCATGGCAACGAATCAGGAGTCGGAGTCGTAGTCGGAGTCGGATTTGGCGCCACCACGACTCCGCAACCCTGCTTCTTACCATCATTTATAAGGATAAGCGATTGCAAGACTGACGAGCCGACCTGGTGCTAACGAAGCGACGGGTAGGTACGCCTCGGGAGATGAAGCTTCACGGACGATTTTGCGCACAAGTGCGCAGTCTGCTTTTACGTTCCCCTTACGCAGAATTTAACAGAGACTTATTCTGCCAAAAAGCTCAATGGAGGTCGATGGAGAACTTTTTGTATGTCCAATGAAACATAAACGTAATTTTGCAAATATTGCTGTGGTGACACTGCAAACAGAATGCAATGCCGTTCCTGATTTTGAACACGCATGGGAAAAAGAGTCACTCCACTCGATAGCCAACATAACAAGGATTATTTTGATATATAATAATCCAGTTTTACAACGTCATGGAGGTACTCCACATGCTATCACCAGCGCGGTTGTTTAAACCTTTGACGGCGCACCAAAAAAGCCACTATCAGAAACTCCCGATTCCACGTACAATAATGAAGACTAAATGCGCAACTAAATAATTTTTTCTGCCCAATTCAAAACATTTCATCAATTTCCAACAGAATGACACCCCAAATATACATATATTCCGAAATTGCCCACGGCCATCCGTGAGGCCGTTTCCAACCATAGTGCGGCGATGCGCCCGGCTAGCGGCGAAGTGGACGATAGCCGATAAAGGCTAGCTCATTGGCGAGGTGGAAGAGAAAGGTCATGCCTCATCGTTGAAGTGAGGACGATAAAGGCCAACTCACTGGTGAGCAGCGGACGATAAAGGTTGACTCACCAGTGAGCAGTGGACGATAAAGGTTACCTCACCGTTGAATGACGGATGATAGATGCCAACTCACCGGTGACGGGCAGGGCGAGGTGGACGCTGAGCTCTGCGACTTTTCATTCTCATCGGGAAGGTCGAGTGAGGACATTCGCATTGTCCGCGCCGACAGCAGCCGACGGTTGTGTACGGGACTTGACGGAGCTGCGAACAGCAGCGGAAAAACACCAATCGTCAGCGCGCGGCACAGGCAGCGGGCCAATCAGAGGCGGAGCCGCCACACGCTGTCATCAGCGGCCGGCTCGCGATGAATACGAGCTTTATGATATATTCAGGAGTCATGCATTTAAATGAAGTCAGCTAAGCCAAGTATGACAAATGTCGCCAGCATTTGGAAGTGACATTCCTAGTGTAATTAGGGACAGTTAGATCTGGGCTCACCAATAAGGGAGAGATTCTGTCCCACTTATCTGTTAAACCTTTTGAAAAATGGCTAAACAAAAAAAGTAAAATGCATCTTTTAAGTTACACTAAAAAACAATAACGCGAGCTTAGATAGTTGCAGAAGTAACAGCATTCAAATTTATAACATCTGGCCATTACAAGTACGTCGTTATTCATCAATGCATGTCACGTCTATTTAAAAGTTTAGCCACGTTTAGCTAGGCAGAACATCGAGTTATTTACACCAAAGTGGAATGAAGCTGTCCAAGACACCATTGTCCTCGTTACACCGAACACTGATGCTGATCGGAGCGGAAAGCTGCGAGTACATTCGCCGATAGGTCATCGCTTAGAAAGCACGTTAAAATTGCATTAACAGCAGCGACAAGCTTAGAGATGGCTCAATAAAGCCTTTGGCTCAAAATCCACCCTAACGGTGCCTGTCAAGTTTCCAGACAGACTTTGCATTAAAGCTATGCTTTATCTCCGTCTATTCAAAAGGAATGCGCAGCATGTTATGATACAAAGCATTATTAGTAGCTTGTGCATTGGGCATCAATGGTAAAAATAAAGGGCATTCAAAATATGTACAAAATGGTGCAATATAGCAAAGCTTAGTAATATTTATTCACAGCTCAATTATTTTATCAAAAATAAATGCACTGCAAAACCCATATCAGTCCCCCGAAATAGTTAAAATGTAGGCAAATGTATAGGAGTGGAAAAAGCAAGCGTGACGAAAATGTTGAATTGTATATGCTTTGGGACCGGCAAAGCTTGTAACTATGAACCTGATTCGGGGTGCAGCATTACCTGTAGTCGATATTGAGTCCGATTGGTTAAAACAAGTTCTGAATCGTGATCTCGATACAAGGGAAAACGGACGTTGTGCTCCTAGAATAGGAGCACATACATATCAAGGTTATGCAGACATTCCGCATATCAAAGACCTCCTCCAGATCATAGCTCACGCTGCAAAGGCCGCATTCTAACAGCCCAAGAATTCAACTCTGCCTGTCTGTGATGGTCCCTGGGACCATCACAAAAAAAATAACGCCCGCCACGTGTCTCATTTCTTCGAGCAGTAGACAACGCCGGACTGTCTCGTTGCTTTGCGGTGTTTTCTACGCGTGCTCATTTGCGCTGTCCGTCTACGCATACGTTGCCTGGACTGCGCTGCATCTACACACCATGCGAATAGTGCAACTCTCTGCCTGTCTGTCTACCGACCATTCTGGGCGCTCTACAGTCGGTACCCGAGCTTCTTGCTCCACATTCAGTACCCGAGCATCTACCAGGTCTGTCCGACGCTACAGAGTTCACTCCAGTCCCGCTATTGGATGCTATCGATATTCGGGGACTCGTGCTCACTAGGGCGGGCGCCGCGGCCCGGACCGGCGGGGGCGGGGGCGGGGGCGGGGGCGGGGGCGGCTACCGTGACCGATGGCCGGACTGGTGGATCGGGTGCACGGCTCCGAGTAGGCCACCAGACGCCTGCCGAGCTTGGCCCGGGTCAGGTCATCGACCTGGTCCAGCGACATGGAGGCCGGCTTGGCGGCGCGCGAGCGGCGCTGCGCGCGCTCCAGCGCCACCAGGCTGAGCGCGATCGCCGACATCCGATAGGTGCGGGCTGAAACCAGGCGGCGCCACCGTCACTGGCCCTGCCCTGCCGGCCATGTCCGGCCTGGACGGTAGGTATATGTGGGTTTACGCCGCGGGCTCGAGCCTCTCTGGAGTGGGAGGGCGGCAATTGTGGCAGACAGTGCTAAACGAATTTGGGTAGCAGCAGCATTGCCAGGGAAAACGTAAATAACGAGGGAATAAGCCAGGGAAAGCGGTGAGTGAGTATCGAAGGTGTCAAAACATCACGAGAGTTTAAGCGGACTAATAGCATGAACCTATATTCCTATCCATAGATGGCGCTGGCTTCGTGCGCCTGGGAACCATACTGTGCCGCCTGACTGCCTGGGAGGTATACTGTGCCGCCAAACTCGGCAATCATTCTCGATCGTTTTCGAAGCGCGTTTCGTTAGGTGACATGAGACGGTAATCGCTGGTAAGACCATACTTATAACGTATGTAAGCAACATTCAAGGTAGGGGTATCTTTCAAATGAATAGGAAAAGCGCATGAAATTCAGTTTCGCTCCTGTTCGTACGCCGAACTGAATGGAAAAGAAAACGACGCTTGTTCTCTCTCTCGGTCCTAATTTACTTCTACCGCGCTCCTGTGTGATTCGTCGTCTTGCTGCTTCAACAAAGCGCACATTAGTAGCGCGCGGGGTGCCGATGCAGATTATCCACTGCGTGAACGATGATGGTCTAGGTAGATACAAAAAATATGAAAATGGACAGAATGACCGGGAAGGAATTCCACAGAGAAAACATGAAGCCAGAAGAATGAGGCCACATATCTCGCCGTGGCGAGAGACACAGACATGCGCGGTTTGCTGCAAGGGTTGTGTAATTAATTACAGTTGAGCAGAGGTGCACTGTGGTGAGCGGCGGTGAGCGCGTGTGAGAGTTGTGAGTGAAGGTGAGCGCCGACCGGGTGGTCCGCTGTGAGAGAGTGCGTGGCGCGGTGTCGGTGTCACACGCGGGGCCGGCCAACACCCGTGCCACAGCGGGGAGCGCAGAGCGCGCGGCAGGCACACACGCAGCGGCTGCGGCCGGGGTCGGCCGTTTACATTGGCTGTGAGACGAGGGGCCGCTGCTGCTCGGGCCGGCGCGCCGGTGACGCTGCGCGTGCTCCGTGGACTCGGGCGAGTCCAGAGAAAAACTCTTCATGCGCAAACTGAGCTTGCCGCGACGAGGACTGTGTGGAGCTGCCGGGTCACAGGTCAAGGTCAGAAAGCTGGGTCACTGCCGGGTCACGCGAGAATCAGCTGCTGGATGTGGTGACTGAACCAATTGGTCGCTGGTCAGTCAACTGCGGGCCACAGCAGCCTCACAACAGAGGTCAGCGAGTCACAGGGTCGCACAGGTCAGCGGGTCACAGCGCCAGGGCTGGGGTCAAACACACACTGGGTGGCGGGGTCACTGCACACGGTTAGATTGCGTCAGCCTGCTCCGGAGGTCTTCCAGACGCGGTCATATAGCTCCCCTGGACCACCACAGCACACACACACGCACACACACAGCAGCTACCGTTCGGGTCATAGGCCACCGGGCCCGGCTCAGATTTCTGCTTGCTCGTCTTGCGCCGTAGACTAAATGACCTGAAAAAGTCTCGCGGTGGAGTTTTCTCTTTAACTTCTGACTTTGGCCGTCTGTTTTCCACAGTTTTCGGAGAAAAGTCAAAAGGGTTACTTGTCGCCATTTCTGGGGGAGCTGGAAACAGGGTGCATATAATTTAAGTTAAATACTTAAATAACGCGATCAGCACGGAGGAAGTTATTGGCGGGCTCAGTTAGGCAGAGGTGGCCACGGGACTTCTGCGTGTCAGCTGCTGTCTGCACCTTTTTCTCGGTAAAATTGACTATAGTCTGAAAAATATCTTATCTTCGTGGGTAGAAATTATCAAATGAGACTTGAAATCTGCAGTTTTGCTATTTTTATCTTCAATATTATTTTAATACGATTTTGCGCAGTTGTACGATATTGCAAATGTAACAAAAAGCGGCGATCAACTGTCCCGTGATCAGCTCTCCCTAATGCTGGACATGATACAGGTGAAAATGACAACAAAAAATAAATCACGACAAAATTGATTGAACATATTAAGTATTTTTAATTACTGGAAACAGTTGCTATGATCCAATACAAAAAAGATTGTCTTAGAGGTAAAGAAGGTACAACTAAGTTAAACCGATCAATGCGGGCTTCAAATGCTTGTCCTTTTAAACAAAGTAAAATACATCAATATGAAACAAAGTTCTGTCAAAGTCATTTTTGTAAAATACTAAACAAAACTTATCCACGCTTATGTCAGGAACACACCAATTGACAGTGAACACAAATACACAAACACGGTGGTATTTTTAAACACATCAACTACCTAACATTGACGGATCCATGCACGCGGTACCGATGTTTCCGAGTGACGTACGACATGCGAGACACGGACACGAGGTAGTGAGTGCTTCAGTCGCCGGCTCTACAAGCGTGGAGCTTGTACGTGGACATTTCTAAAAGCCTTCAAGCTATAACGGATGGAGATTTCACGTCTCAAGCTTGCTTAAACATCGTTGTACTGCAGTGCTGAATTATTTCATTTGCTCATTGTGATGTATGTTTGTGCACTTTAACATTGCATTGCTTAACCCTCGCCCATGTAGGGGGGGGGTTGGTGCAACCCCCCCCTGAGGTTTTTCGGAAATAGTGCAAAAACGGCGGCGCGCAGCGCCGCCAAATTTTGGGTACCTTATGGGGCAAATCTTGCGCATCTTTTGATAAAAAAAATTTGACCGGGTCATGTCAGGTCACGGAGTTATGACGTCACAAAGGGAACAGCCTCCGGCCGGATTTTCACAAACTAAGTGCCAACGCCCGAGGTTTCCTGCCGGTGGTACGGACATCGGTTGATGGATCGTGATGAAACTTCCCATGCCTATTGGGGCAAGTATTGGCTATCATATGGTATAAGAAACTTGACCGGGTCAGGTCAGGTCACGGAGCTATGACGTCACAAGAGGAACAGCGTCCGGTACTATTTTTGAAAAGCGCCCGAACCACTATTTTGCTAATTCTTGTCACCTCAATGGGAATATGCAGCAATATTAGCTTCTATAGGGAGCAAATGGACCTCCCAAATCCAAAAATACAATCAGATTTCAAAAATTTAAATTTTGATTTTTCGAATTTCTGCCGCCGACTGTGACCTTGCCGACTTCCGGCGCTCCCAACGCGCCATTTTTAGAGCTAGGGAAACGAAATACATACCAAACAATAGAGAATTGATCAAGGAACACGATAGTGAAGGTTTCAAGTCGATATCTCCCACCGTTTTGCCGCAATCGCCGCCGAAAGTTGAAAAAAGTCTATTTTTCCGAAAATTTGACCTTTGACCGGTCAAAAGTAGGTCAAATGTTGACCTAGGACCAAAAAATATACCACCAATCGCGAGATCTCGGCGAGAGCAATCCGTTGGTCTTTTCCGCTAAGCTCTACGACGCTCCGTTTTCAAACGCCAAGGGGGGGGTCGCACCAACCCCCCCCCCCTGCATGGGCGAAGGTGGCAGATCGCCGTTTACGGGCGAGGGTTAAAGAACACAGTCGCAAACATATCATAGCTAGCTACATACATGTAGGGCTGTCTACCCATCACGTCAGTCTAGCGAAATGATTTTGATTACAGCCCTTTTCCGCTGAAAATACTTACGGACCCTCAATAATTTCAATTTGTTTCCAACTTCTTGTAGTTTATTAATTTCAATCCTAACCAATAGATTGATCACTGATCAGACCTTTTACTTGGAGCAAGATTTTCCTTAATTGTTCAGGCATTATATAGGTAAGCTCATAGATTGCTTGAATATCCATCGATATAATTACGAGCCTCAGATGCCTTATGATTCATATAGCAATATGACAGATGATTTTCTTTGCACCAGCTGCATACAAAAAAAGGTCTGCATGTAATTTGAATATGGTTAACAAATACACAAGTGAACGTCTACAAAAACGTACATCGGGTACGACTCGGACCCAATTTGACACTTTCCAGCCAAGGGGGCCGATATCCCACCCGTAGCAGATGGGGCACGACACAATCAGAGTGTGACTGAGGGGTGGGTGGGGGTAGGAGTCGGTGACAGCAGCATGCTCAACTCTCTGAGTGTGAGTGTGAGTGTGAGCTGCGCACAGCGACGGGCGGCCGCGTACTTGAGTGGATGACCCGCACCACCTTGTCGGTGCCGTTGACGGAAACAGTTCGGAAGGCAGCGAACTCTGCGCGGCGCCTCATTCGGTCCCGCGAGTTACCGATACCTAGGGGGTGTCGGGAAGTCACCAGAGGTGTCAGTTACCGATACCTAGGGGGTGTCAGGAAGTCAACGGCAGTGTCAGTTTCCGCTACTTCCGGGCCAGTCCACGGGCCCAATTGACTGGCCTGAACATGTCAGTCCACGGGCATGTCAGTGGCCGCTCCCTAGGGGATATCAGAAGTCACCGGTGGTGTCAGTTGCCGCTACCTACCAGTCCGTGGGGTTCCAGTCAAATGGGATGTCAGTCTACCTGAGGGCCCGTTCGCAGGGTGTCAGGCAACGGGGCATGTTAGTCGCCATGATCGGAACGGGACCGACTGAACCATGTCCGTCACTGGATGATATCAGTCACTGAATTAATATCAGTCACGGGTATGTCAGTCAGTGGGTCAGGTGGATTCAGGCCCGTCCATGGTCGCAAACATGAAACAACAACCGTATAAAGTCTGTTAAATGTCTTCAGAACAGACATCGAACTGAAAAAGTCAATGCTTGTATGTACTTAGCTAAGCTGGTTCTTCGTGTCTAACTAAAATCTGGTGTCCACTTAACAGGCCCAAGGCTGTTGGAGCCCGTGTACAATTGCAAATACAATGCAAATACAACAGCATTTGCAAATGTGTCTGGGATAAGGTATATCGTAACATATCAATTTATTTGCCGTAGACAAAGGACGACGGCCAAACCATGCACAGCTGTAGAGAGACGATAAAGATGGTGGCCGCGGAGACCTGTGGCCACCATGGTGCATCTGGTGGATCGGACGCAAACGGCAGCACGACTCGCGTACTCAGATGATGTAGTGAAGACTTAGCCCTCACGGTACTGTTTTGCAAGACAGTGGTCACATTCGATGCAGGAATGTTTTCAATCAGTGCTTGGTCGGTGCATCTCAAAACGTGCTTAACTTTTTAGTTGTGATAAGAAATACAAAAATCAATCTGAGCCATTCATCCAAAACGACCAGTGAGATTTCGTTATGAAAATTTTTAGGTATATAAAAATATCAAGCATTCAAATCTACTGTTTAAAATCTTCTATTTCTTAAATTCATTGTATGAGTTTCTATAGAGCTCAAGAACAGGAAAAAAATCTTAGAAGTGCATGGAAACTTCCTCATTTATAAAGCAATTTGATTACAGTAAATACTACCGCTCATACGGTGAGCGGGACATTATTAAATTTTCAGGTTTTGTGCAAAATATATATCACAACCAAATCACTAGTTTTGAGGCTAGGTATTTCATCGATGCAATAAGTCACAATGATATAGATTAGTATCTATCTATCGGTGAATTATTTACGACATTTCCTATATTATTTAACGAGCGCTAGGTTAGGAACCCACTACGCGTTTTTGTTCACCATTGTGAGTCTTGCCTGAGTGAGCACTATTTTCTGAACTGGCCTGATAAGTGTGACCATCAACGTCTCGAAACGCAACCCGTCTTCGTGCATCTGGAAAGCAGCGCCAACAACATCTTTCATCCCTCATCACACATTTGGGCGACGTTATTAGCAGCCTTCAACAATACAGCGGGTGTGCTACTCGTACGTGGGCATCTTTTGCTACGAGAACATTAGATACATGTATTCATCAGCTACAACTAGACAAACCTTCACAGTGTAGCGAATCACACTACCTCGACACTCGGATTTTGAACTGATAAAAAAAGAAAAAGACGATCATCCAGGAAATAAAAGGCTTGTCGATCTCGTCGCTGCTATCAAATCACTCATGATATCGACGTTAGCCACCAGATCTGCACAAACCTACTGCAAGCAACGGAGGTCTTTATGCTGATTGCTGGCATATGGTTATGTGAATAGGCCCACGAGGTACTCCTAAAAGAAATCATTAGTAAACTCTGGCGCGTTTGAAGCAGTTAGCGTAAATCCAGGAACTCGCGACAATGGTTCAAGGCAAACTCGTCCCCAGCGTTGTACAGGCTGTCACCAATCTCATCGAAACCCGCGGCATACGGAGAATTTTAAATCGGATTGCCTGCTCAGAGAGCGCCATGCCTCATCACGAATTCATGGCTCCTGTTGGCCGAAGCACTTCACACCCGGGAGGCGCGAGGTTTGCGTCAGACGAGTTCCGTAGAAGGACGCGTGGGCCGCGCGTCGTCAGGCGGAAGGTGGCACTGGCTTCCTTGGTGGGCGGCCATCCAGGCAGCAGGGTCAACCAAGCCTACCGACCTTGTGGCACACACACAGAGGGGACTCACCTGAAGAGGAGGAGGCGCCCCTGCCCAGTGAGGCAGGCGGCGGGTTCAGCGTCCGGGGCGTCGAGCCCTGTCGCCGGGACAGCTGAGATGATGACGAAGTGGATGACGCCTGGAGGTCGTTGGCGGAGCTGGAGACGGACGACGGACAGGGCAGTGTCAGCGGCTCCGGAAGAGTTATTGTCGTGTGTTTGTGTTCAATAGTTATTATGCATCTGTGCAAGTGATTATCAGGTTTAGTACTTATACAGCATGTTACTAAATTTCGGCACATGACGCGTCTTTTCTACAACTGCATAGCAATTTGACGCTACAGAGGTGAACGATCGCAGCAGCTTATCTCGCAGACAGCAGCTGACAAATCTGTTGGGTGTGAACTGTGAGCACCACCAAGCGCGCGCCGCTCTCTCACCCATGGTTGCTGGTTCGGAACCCGGCGGGGTCCGTTGGCCTGCTCAGTGGAAGGTAGTTGGGATCCGCGTCGTGCTCTGAAAGGGACACGGTCGGAGTGTCAGACGGCGTACACGACACGAGAGGATGTCAAGAAAGGGAAAGTGGATAGACGGTCAATCCTAATCAATTCAAAACCTAATGAAAGCAGACAGGTCAGGAAAGTTGCAAGTCAACAAAAATGAAAAATAATTACAACTGTAATAATTAGTCTTAAAATAAGAGTATGTAACTGTCGTAGCTGGTTGCTCTATTCCTTGAATGAGAAACAAACATGACAAAAATTAGATATTCCTACACATGTTCGCTCTAGGGACTTCTCGACACCACTGCGTAGATTATCCGGTCAAATGATTCGACTGCGACAAGCTTTGCATTAAGTCTTGCGGCGAGGACTATTGACTCAGCAGGACAGCTCGTAACAGCGTCTAACCACTGCACTGTCGTGAACAAGACGCTCACAGTGTTTTCGAGTTGGAGTAGCCCTTCCCCACTCCCGACACGACTGACACGACACTGAACAGGAAGCGACATCAGACGGCTGCGGCCCGGCCCGGCCGGCCCCTGAGGCCAGGTGACGGACATGCCAGAGCGGTTACACGGCTCACGCCGCAGGTTATTGGTTAGAAAGCTAAGCCATTCGCTCCTCCGGCCTACACGGACTTCCCATTGCAAATGCTTTTTCCGTCTTTTGATGTTCAACTTTTGAGTACTTTTGTACTTTTGTGAGCTTTAAGTCTATGCAGGCTCGGAGCTCGTATACAGCTATTTCAAAATTTCTGAATTGCAAAAAAAGAAAATAAATATAAAATAAAGACTTTTCAAAGATTTTTGCTCAATTAACACAAACTTTTACAATTAACACAAACTTTTATGATACATTCCGCAACACAATATGATTCTACTTCATGGCAAATCATAAAAATATGCATAGCAAGACAGTATTTATACGATTTTGATTTGCAGACGCACGACAGGACAGCATAAAATTGAAAATTCCTATGTCCTATGTGTGATCTAAATGCCTACCATTCACTGATTTTAACGAATGTCTATGACCGAACACAACTAGTGATGGTGTGACAACTGACAAGCTCACACTGCCTATGCTGTCGTCACTATACCTATAGCACATCCACCAGCTCGTAGCATGAGGACATTCATGAACAATAGACGCCACATCTGAACGTTAGGACATCAGACAACAACGAAATAGCACCTGATAAACGTGTCGTGTGCTTTATCAGTGCAGTAAAAGCAAACGTTTACGACACAACAGCATCTATTATTGAGCAGAAGACGCACAACAAACAAAACCAGCCAGATGCAACGATGTTTACATGAATGTACGGTATATGCTATAATAGGCACATAGATCTGTTAACATGGTGTAAAACCAAAAACGATCTACTGTGCCCTAAAAATGGCAGGAAATGAAAAAGAAATGATGTATAGTGTTGGACGCAGAACAAGAAACAAAAATAAAGTTTGATTTACGGTCTTGTGATATGGCTTTCCTAAACGGAAGTCTTTTTGATATTGCCACCCTAAAACCGGAACGATTATCTGAAACAAAGAAAGAAAACAAATTATTCAATGTTTACAAAATATCACTTAACCCGCGCCCTGCTGGGGGGGTGTTTGAACACCCCCCCTTGTGGTTTTTCGCGAATATCTCAAAAACGGCGGCGCGGAGCGCCGCCGTTTTTGGTACACCTTATCATACATCAATTCTACACATGTTGTGAAAATTTAAGACCAAGGTCATTCAAGGTCAGGTCACCAGGTCACTTGAAGTGACCTCACCTCATAAAAAGTTTCAATGTCTGTCATAGCTACACCGAGTGACCGATCGCTTTGAAACGTTCAGCGATTGCTAAAAGCAATAGTTTGTACAAAATATATATTTCAGAATTTTGATATCGATGACCTAAGGTCAGGTCAATTTTGCGACCTCCCCATTATAAGTCAATGGGAGAAAATTGAAATGCGCCTCTTTTGGATGAAAGACATTATAAACACTCCCAAACACCGAATAACAAGTGGTTTAGACACACTGAACATGAAAATGGTGTCCGTGACCCCTGTTTATGCCCTGAGGTCATCTTAGGTCACGAATGGTATCTAACAGTTTTTCGCAAATAACTTTTGATAGAGGCATGATAGAGCGATGAAAACGCCTTAGATGTGTTCAGCTCGACGATACGGATCGACTGATATGCAATATGACCCTTTCCGGTCAGGTCATGACCCTGACCTGAGGTCAAATTTTCAAGTTGACCTTTCAAGGTCAAGTTATAGTTCATTCGATGCGTCTTGACGAGAGGAACACGATGCCGGTGAAAGTAAGCTCGTACAAGGCTTGGGTCAAAAGTTATTGCAGAAAAACTGTTTCCGAAAAAATCGGCTATTTTTGCAGTTTTGGCCCCCTGCAGGCAAAACCGTTGACGTTAGGTCAAATCTGAGAGAATTACTCAGAAAGGGCGTTAATAGGGCTATCGAATGCGCTTTTCTGCGGCGCTGTAGCTCTATTGGTTCCCGAGTTATGCGTTGGCTTCTTGGAAATTTTCGACATTCGACCTGGAAATCGGCGAAATTTTGCCTTCAATGACCTCTGGTGACCTGACCTTTGACCTGACCAAAAAAGTGACCGAAGTGATTTCGTCATTATTTTTGACGCTCTTTCGAACGCCGCCTTCCGCGTATCGCTACGTGGCCCAGGAGCCGAGTTACAAGGGGGGGTGTTCAAACACCCCCCCCCCAGCAGGGCGTGGAAATCCAGAACCCCCAGCCGGGCGCGGGTTAAATGAGCGTTGCCGCTGCTCAAAGATAGTTTGGCAGCTGCAATAATAGGGTAGTTCGACGTAAAAAAAATATTTGACTTCGATTGCACAAGTCACTAGGTGAAAGGTTGCTTATTGGGGCTTTAGGGCGCGTCGACTACTGCGGTCATTCTGCGCTCATTTCTTGTTCCTTATCATGCATAGAGCGTATTGAGCATTGCAGAACACATATCCTGATGTGGGCGTCAGTGCAAATACCTGAGCGGTGTTTTACGCAACCCTCCCAGCCCCGGTGTAGGTTAAACCGCACCTAGTGTGCATGAAAATGTCTTAGTCGTCAAAACTCTTCAACAGCTGATGTGAAGTTTGTGTAACAGAAGCTATATCTAATTTCAGGTCGATCGCGTGATTATTTCTTGAGCTATTGCGAAAAGTCGGTAGAGGGCGTTTAACGTCCCTCCCCCTCAGTCCATTGTGGGTTAAATATCTACTCTATCCAGGTAATCTCTTCATATGAACAGAAATCCAATTACATGATAAGCGGTTGTCCAGTAAACAGATGTGTTTCATTGCCAATCACCATTTATCAGCCATCGCCACAATCAAATGGCGTCAGGGAGCATCGAGGTTGAGTCATCCCATGCGTGATATATCAGGAATCCAATGAAGTGAGCACTAGGGCGCGTCACCTCACGGTGCACTGCATATCAATGTACACATAATCTCTCTTCCAGACGATTTCTGAAACTGCTAAGACGGCTAAAACTGCTAACATGGATAAACAGACGACAAACAGGATAACAATTAGATCAGATCAACAAGATCAAATCGGATAAACAGGAGAGGTCGATGAGAGCTGAGGCCGGCAGAGGAGTTCAGAGTCGATAAGAGGTTATTAGTCTCCGACAGAGAACGCATATATCTGTTGTGTCACCGACAAACAAATATCCTGTATTAGTCATAAATATGTAACCATTGGCGATCCAATGGCGCACGAACGGTTCTTAACTCCGGAGACCAATATACATGAACATTGAACATAGATATCCGTGGTGCACATTAACAAGGTACAGGGAAAATTGGTCACTGAGACAAGATCCCATTGCTGGTAGTCCGAACTCTAGTTAGGTTATAACTGATATTAACATATAACTACTCGTTAGTCTCACACCAGGCAGTACACTAAACATTTAACAACTCATGCGCAACTTTCTCAGGGGGTGAATTACTTAAGCAGTTTCTACGTAGTCGCCGGAGTCACTGTGCACTGAACACTATTGTTGAGCCTCATCTGCTATATTATATAATTATAATATGCTCAAAGGTTTCAGACCAAAGCAATTGACATACATATACTTGTAAGTTATGGTGGGAGTATGGGTCTACTTCATTATCAGGAATGCCATAATTTAGAATGCTATAATGATAGAATGATATCGTAGCTGAAGCATACCTTGTAAGCCGACCTGAACGATGACGTCTTCAGTTATCGTGTTCATATGTCTGCAGTCTACTGCATATTTTATTATTATAAGCCATCGATACTGTAGCAGATGATCACGTTGGCAAGACAAAATGTAAGGCAAGGACTAAGGTTCAATACGAGCGTATTTTCTAGGATTGATAGCGAGAGGCAGAGAGAGAGAGAGAGAGAGAGAGAGAGAGAGAGAGAGAGAGAGAGAGAGAGAGAGAGAGAGAGAGAGAGAGAGAGAGAGAGAGAGAGAGAGAGAGAGAGAGAGAGAGAGAGAGAGAGAGAGAGAGAGAGAGAGAGAGAGAGAGAGAGAGAGAGAGAGAGAGAGAGAGAGAGAGAGAGAGAGAGAGAGAGAGAGAGAGAGAGAGAGAGAGAGAGAGAGAGAGAGAGAGAGAGAGAGAGAGAGAGAGAGAGAGAGAGAGAGAGAGAGAGAGAGAGAGAGAGAGAGAGAGAGAGAGAGAGAGAGAGAGAGAGAGAGAGAAGGGAGGGAAGATGAAGGCGAGCGAGCGAGAGGTAGAGGCAGGAGTAGAGGTAAAGAAAAAGACAGAGATGGAGGGAAAGAGACCCGAGGGGATGTATGTATATATTCAATACAAAAGGCATATTTCTGCATGATTCGTGTATTATGCCAAAATATCTCCAAGTGGAGCCAAACATCGAGTATATTTTTATATAAATTTTCTTGAGTTTTAAAAGTTATAATTTTGGACTAATATTTCAAAGTTTCGAGCTGTAATTTCGCATCAGTTTATTAAAACCTCGTTGGGCAGCGATAAAACATCACACGTGAGTCTAAAGGTGCAGCTAGGCGTCTAGGTGTGACTAGGCAAGCTATTCCTTGCATAACTGCTACAAAATGTGTGTCTACAAAGTGGCTTGATTCGTCCGGATTTTGGCGTGCGATCATGTAAAATAAAAACAAGTTCTTCACCAATCGGATGATAGAAAAGACGTGTAATCCAATACGTAAATGGATGACCGGTGAAACTTTATGGCGTTTCAGAATTGCATCCGCTTTCCTTCCCTTTGCAGACACACAAGGGCAGCACGTTATACGGCAGTGGTAGTCCTAACTCCGGTGAGAACAGCAAAGCAGCGTGAGAAGGCCGGGCGGTGAGAGCGTGGGGGTACTACCCTGGCTACTGGGACGACAGAGCGCCGCGGGGGGGGGGTCAGCGGTGCTAGCGGCAGCACAGGAGGGGTGGCCGCGGGCAGCAGCCGCCGGCCCAGTACCTCTGATGACCGGGGTAGGCGGTGGAAGGGACGACTCTTTGCGCTTGGCCGCTGCCTGCTTCAGCAGATCATAGACAGGGTCAGTGGCCTCGGCTCCAGCTAAAGGGACAGAACAGACGGACGTTGACAGCCTCGATAGAGGGAATACAGTTAGCAGCTTGGCATAAAAAGGATCGTTGTTCCTGAGTGTCGATTAATTTTTAGTTATATTAAGCTGTTATTCAATGCTGTAAATAATATGATAATGACTCAAAATCATTCAGCTTGATTATTGTCAGTTTTTACTGCCTCTCTTGTGTTTGCATTTTCATCCGTAACACACCTGCTGCATTGTTTTCGCTGCGGAACAAAATATTTTAATTGTCTTTGGTCTAGATTCACACAGTTCACGCCCCCCAACACTCGACTGAGCCCGTTCTCGGCGTACAAATCACGGCTGCGGACCGCTCGGGCTGACCGGGCCTGCGTCACAGGGTCACCGCTGCTGCAGCCGTGTAACAGGTGTGCCCGGGGGTCCGTCGGCCGGCGGCGGCGCGTGCATCGATCCCCACGGCGGACCGCGCGGCTATCGACGTGAGGCCAGTGCCAGCGCCGGTGACAGCGGCGCGGGCTGCCAGCCCGACGGCGCCTAACCCGCTCGGGACGGCGGCCTAGCCCAGTCGGGACGGCGGCCTAACCCGGTCAGGGCGGCCTAACCCACTGGGGACGGCCTAACCTACCTAATCCGGCTCGGGTAGCCAGAGCGGCCTAACCGGCTGACAGTGGCCGAACAGGTCTGAAGAGGCCTGCGGCCTAACTAGCCCGGAGCGGCCTATGCAGCCTAACTTGCCCGGAGCGGTGTACACTTACAGCCTAACCCGTCAGGAGTGGCCTGGTTTGCCTAACGAGCCTAACTGACTGGGCTATCAGGGGAACGAAGAGCCAGCAGCCCAGCAGCAATGTCGACGGCTGAATGGGAGCCCAGAAAAGTCGTCATTTAAGGGAATAGGGAGACAGAAGTAGTGGTACCAGTGACGTTGGGGACTAGTATCGATGGTTAACGATTGACCCGGTAGACAACTGTCATCACGTGGTTCATATTCTGAGGTCCAAACTTCATAACTGATCCCGCAGCGTTTTTTTTTTTTAACTTTCCACCTTGCCAAATTCAGATTGAGTTACTTTTGCAATTGCCCACTTAAGAGACATGCTAATGGATTCAACGAAGTCTGTTTGTGACTGAAGCAATGCAATAATGTTCGGATTCGCTAAGGGGTTTCGGAAGATTGGAAACGGTCATGTTCAATAAGTGGTTAGTACATTTTTTGTTATAACACATAATTGTGTCATCTGTGATGCCGCAAAACTCAAAGTCTTTCTTCCAAACGTTTGGCATTTCTAAATAAGATGAGAATACCTTATACACGAAGGGAATGATATCTGACTCACAGTCTCACAAACGCAGAAACCAAGCACGAGTACACACACACGCACACGCGCACACACGCACACAGGCACGCACACATACACACCCCACGACTATGTTCATTGTTCAGCTCCCTGTTTAGCGGGCTACGTTCCGCCTCCTCGCGCACTTACTGGGGTCTTCTGCGCCCTCGATGAAGCGCGTCTCGAGCTCGGAGGTGGACTTTTGCCGTCGCAGCAGCCGCGACTTGGGCTGGCAGCGCGGCACGTTGGTCTGACAGTCGCCGTGCACGTTCATCTTGCAGAGGCGGCATTTCAGGCCCTGACGAGTGTGACCTGCGCGCAGAGACGGAAACGTGTTATTTCCCTACGGTCTATGGCACCACACCAATCATGGCATCAGGTTATTAATATGTTCCCTGCCGCCGTTCCATGCCCATGGTAAGTACGAGTATGTTTACCCGCCGTCCCCGATGCACATGGTAAGTGTACCGTAACCATAATAAGCATGTTTACCCGTCGCTGCTGCCGTCGCGTCGTCGGCGAATTTCCCGGTTAGTGCTGGGGATTTCCCCACGGTACCGCTCGCGCCCGGTCCGACTCAGTACCGACTCTTGAGCCACCGCTGAGTTATAGGCTAGCTGAGCCGTGAGTCGGGGCTGTCCCCGGGCCGTGAGCCTGCTGTCCCCGGGCCAGCAGAGCCCGACCCCCCAGGGGCGTCTGATGGATACGACTCGCGCTGGAGTTGACAGCAAGAGACGGCGGGGGACGGTCGGAGCCCGCCGCCGCGCCGGCGTCCTGGGGCTGGCCCGCAGTGCGTCCCAACTGGGCGTACTGTGCGTCCCAGCTGGCCATGGTGCTTTCCAGACATCACAAAAGCGTTCCATCCGCGTTCCACTGTGCATCTTAGCTTCTCGTTGCATGTTGCAGGGTGCTAAAGAGTCACATCCCAACTCCCAGCTCTATCTCGCTGCGCATTTCAGATGACCCAATGTGCGTCCTAACTGGCCCACTGTGCGTCCCAACCGAGTAAGAATGCCGGACATGACCTTTGAATGCCGTCTGGGGCGTCTAAACTTACGTCCTTCGCCACTCAGTGTAGGCGTAGCAAAATGGTGGCGGATTTACCACTGGCATTGACGTATCTCACAAATGATCACCGAAAGCCAACAAAATGGCTGCTCTAGTGTTTCAATTAAACTATCGTCTCGATTCGCTATAACTCCCCGCGTTGCAATGGCCAACTACCCATACCAATGTAATGTGCTTTGATTTCCAGGTCCCTCATAAAGCGTTCGAGTAGAGAGAATATGGAATAATAACAGAGAGAACCTGTATAAAATGATACAATAAAATGAGTTCTTGATAAAAGAAGTATTACGCTCGTCCTTATCTGTTTTCTTTTTGGAATATTGTAGACCATTTTTTTTATTTTTTTATTTATCAGAATCACCAACAGGGACAAGCCCCACTGACAGGTGAAGTCAACATAAAAACAGTTAAACAGTATAAGACACATTGTAAACATCATACCTGTCGCATCACAGCCCGCAGTTCCCAACTATTTTATAAAATGAAAATTAAGATAAAGGTGTGCTAAAATACATGATGCATAAAAAGAATCATCAAAAGATGCATATAAAAGTGCAAATGAAGCACGAGGGGGTAATAATAAACATCAGCAGAATGATGAGAAAATTAAGAATACACATAAAAAATAAACACAATAAAAGTAAAGTAAAACAAAACAAAAGTGAGATCGGTGAGCAAAAAACTACACGGTTAAAACGTATGCGGTGACACGAGTTT